GAGTGAAATGTGTTGTTAGCAGAAAGCCGACACTTTTGACATACGGATCTTAAAGAAGCTCATTAGTAATGCTTTGGTTTGAACCGGCAGGCTCAAGATATGATAACATTTTCTTGATGTTACTTTTCAGTTGTCTGATGCATCATCCTCCATTTGCACACAATTAATGCCTTGAAAAAGAAACATTGGAGAACATTGTAAATCATTCCCTCGCTTTAAAGTATCACTCTCTCTCTATCTATATATATATAGATAATATATGGCAGGCAATTACGTAGGTGAGGAGGAAGAGAAGATAAAAGGGCGACAGTGTGAAAGGAAAAAGACGATGGGATGAGGGCAGGAGTGTTTTATAAGCAGGTGAATGTCGAGTTAGGCCTAACAGCTGGATGTCATGCACATTAAAGTTGACATTTATCCATCCACGATGACCCTTGTAACGCCATTAAGGTCTCCAGAGACACATGATGGCCAACAGTTAATTATACAACCATGGAGATGAAGCCCAATACTCAATGCAAAGGAGGTCATCATAATGCCATTTCAAGATTTTACATTTGAAGTGTTTTTGCATTACAAACATTCTCTTTAATTACTTGAGTCTTCTGATCTCAAATGTTTTTGAAGATCTCCTGATCTCTTTAGCGTTCTCCATTTGTTTTGCTTTGGTTGAAGGCCAAATGTAATAAAGAGCGCTGCTTCATTTCATCGCTACTCCTCTCCGTATCTAATCTCATTAAGGATCCCGCTCCAGGAATTAGGAGTGCCTCTTGGTAATGAAAAAACACATTAACTGAGCTACAGAATGGCCTCAACGCTCAAAGACATGTTTTCTCAGTCAGCCACCCCAACGACTTATGTCTGAGGTCTTAGCATTTTAGTGACATCTCACATTTTAATGAACATATTGATAAAGGTTACACCTGTTGTTAAAAGTAGTTTAAATATGATTTTTTTGTAATTAAATCAGAATTCCAAGGTAAGCGGATGCATTATGCTGTGGAAGCCTTCCTGCCAGCTCAAGGCCGTTTAAACATAGAGCATTTTCCCTGCAGCCTCGATGTCTTATTGTTTATGCATGATGGCGCATGATAAGAACAGAAGCTACTATAAACCAGACGTAAAACAAGTTGAACATCTGCCAGTGAACGGGACGTGAAAGGGATGAAGGTTCAACCCGTGAGTTTAGTCTAAAAGTTGTGAATTATTGTCTAGATTCCTGACTATAGCGTGTCATTAGTACGCAGCCATCCATCGAAAAGAGTAATTCAAAGTCCTGTTATTAAAACTCCAGTGCCACAAACACAAGATCCTCCTGAATAACATCTGCTTTTAATCCACCGGAGGAGAATCCCCAAGTTCTTGCTGACAGACAGACGGACGGACACAGCCGTCCTGGTTACCGACTGGCGCATCTGCAAACACTTCAGTCACACCTTCTCAAGAGAGCGAGCGAGATGGAAAGCAGCACGGAGCTAGAAGTGAAAATGACTCGTCAGCAGCTGAGGTTTAATGTGGCCGTAAGCTGCAGCGCGGCCGACGTTTGAAGGAAGGTGCGAGTTTGTTAGAGGCTTTTTGACTACACTTCAAGAAAGGGGAAGCGGATGGATGGAACACTATTCATAAAACGTGAGTATCTTGGTGTTCTTTAACCCTCTCAAGTTTTGCACCAATGTCAACAGGAGCTCGATTAAGAGACCAATTGAAAAAAATTGCTCAGTGTAATTCGCAACACGTTGTGCATAAACGATGCTGCAGCATGTTGTTCAATAAATAACCCCGTCGTAGTAGGCTGTGCAAACTGACAGTCGAAGATAAAAATAGTGATTGATCGTAGGTAAGTTGTTGCCGCTGTTACTATAGAGCGAACGTGTGATCGAAGTGTTGGACTGATTCAGCCTCTGGGATGAAGAACAGTGTTTGAGGCTCTGTTTAATCTGCAGCAATCTTGATAGGAACATCTGGATGACCGAAATGAATGAAGATGTTAAATAACACTGGGATACCGGTGCTCTGCTGCCACTTGCTGGACCATTGAGAACTCTAAAAGAATACAGAGTATGAAGCAGGACCCCGTACTAACCCTTTGTTGGGAATCAAAGTGCTAAAATATCCCAACGATGTCCGTAGTTAAAATATAAAAAGAAGCTAATTCGCAATGATTGACATAGTCTTGAGAATTTATGGGGGAGAAAAGTTAAACCCAACAATTCTCCAAAATTGTCACTCTGCCTTGCTTCTATCACTCTGTACTTCGTCACCCAAACAGGTAGACAATAATCCCAAAACTGACAATTACTTTTATCCAAATTTATTAGCAAGAAAAATGGAATCAGATATGAAAAACTTTCAATCTAAATTCACTTCTTTGCAATTTCGTCCTCCTTGGAAAAGCTCTTGATCATCTCTTCCTTCTTGGCCAGGAGACGCTCTTCTCTGCGTTTGCGGGCCTCCTTGGTCTTTGAGCGACGAGCCTCTGCCTGGTCACTGTTTGGGTAAAAGAAGGTGGACACATTATTGGAAAAGTGCCGTGATGAAAAAGGGACACTTACAAAGTAGCAGCTGAAAACACTTTATTGAACCATAGCAGTGAAATACGCAGTCAAAGAAGTTAATACGATCTAAAAAAACGGCAACTTACGATAACAGCTTTCTGCGAGCCTTATCTGCCTTCAGCTTGTGGATGTGCTCCATCAGGATGCGTTTGTTTTTGAAGACGTTACCCTTGGCCCTCAGATACAGGCTGTGGTACCTGAAGGAAACACAAGAAATGCCTCACAGCTTCTAGAAGCAAGATTCCTCATCCTGAAATAGGTGTTCAAAACTACACTGGCGTAATCACCAGAGATTCACACTTACATGTGCCTGTCAATTTTCTTGGACTCCCTGTAGCGACGAAGGAGACGACGCAGGATTCTCATGCGACGCATCCATATCAGCTTCTCTGGCATACGGGCGTTGGCTGTACCCTTTCTCTTACCTGGTCGGGAGGATATTAATTATGTTAACACGAAATCAAATATGACATTACAGCAGGCCACATCATATCCAAACAACTGCCATTAGCAGGACTCAACATGGTTCACACGTTCATGCTTTTTCTGAGGAAAAGGACGGGTACATTACACACCATAACCCATGTGACGCCCCTTGCGGCGTGCCAACGTGTTCTTGCGGCAGCGGGCACGGGAATGAACCGTCACAGGCTTTCTGATGATCAGTCCATCCTTCACCAGCTTTCGGATCTGCTGGCCTGTGGCACAGATTTACAACGCATAAAAATATGTTGGCCTTTAAAGATCACATGGCACGAATATACAGAGAGCGCTCCAAAGTAAAGTTAGCAACTCACGAGAATTTGCGTTGGCAATCTCATTGGTCTCATTAGGGTCCAACCACACCTTCTTCTTGCCACAGCGCAAGACGCTGGATGCCAAGCGCTTCTGGAGCCTGGGGATGATGGTGTGTTAGTTTTGCAGGAATGTCACATACAGCACTAAGGGGCCTTTAACATCATCGAGCAATTTAAACTTCAACGTGTGTATTACAGCAAGTAGCAGCTTCATCTAAATTTGTTTTGGCATTAAAAAAAAGGGGGCATTTAACAACTCAGGTATTGAGATCGGTTCTCTTGTATTGACTGAAATAATTAATCCAAAACAAAAAGGAATAGGCCACTTTTGGCATTTTACAGGTTTCTACTTGAAAACACGGCGTTAATTCAATAGCTCCGTTGACCTCGTCACTGCCAGCGAGTGGGCCAATTAATTGGCATTTCTCCAAACCAGGACTACAGATACGACGCACACAATATATTAAAAACGAGATACTCACAAAAATCTAATCTATTCTCAACGCAGATGCCAAACTGGTGTTAATAAATACTAACGTTAGCAGTTAGCCCTTTAACCGACAGGAAAGCGAATGCGTGACTTGCACGCCACAGAGATGTGCTGTATTGTAATCCTTTATGCTTTCTATTTTACCGACATTATTTTCAGCTAGTTCGACTAATATTGACAGGCGCTAAATACTTCCATTGTTGAGAGCTGATTAGCGGCCAAGGATCCGCGGCGTTTCAGTATGGTGCTCCGACATAACGTTAACTTGGTTATTTGGCTAACTTAGCTCACCAATGTAGGCCCAATGCTAACACTACATGTATTCTGGTAGAAATAAGCGACTTTACATTTTGTCGTCTGGATTCAAGGCAATCCACTTGTCTTAAAAAGCAAATCGAACCATCATATTAAATGTGTAATTAGAATAAATACACGGATTTAGAATCCAAATGTGCTGCTTACCTCATGGCTGCTACTAGCTTGGTAGAAACGAAGGAACGAGGACGATTCAGTCCCAACCATTCAAGATATCGTCATGGGTGGACCAACTACGATTCATTTTCAGAAAAACCTAAATAAAGCAACAGTTTGGTAGTAAATATATTTTTTCAAACTTTATTTGAAAGGAAAACATACATTTCCATATGTATGTTTAATATATCTTAAAGAGACCCTATGTATATTTATTGACCGCCCCCCACCCCCGTCATAGCACAGTGGTACGCTCCGATGATATGCATTGTAAATATCCAACCACTGGAGGACGCCCCACACCCATGTTTAAAATTTTAATTTCTAAAACATACGTTCTTTGTATAAATGATATATGATGTCCAGTTTCTCTGTTCAGGAATTTGATTTAATTTTAAATATTTTGGTTTGGGTTTCACCATAAAAAACAGAATATATAATAGAATAGGTCTTCAAAATAAAATATAAATTTGAAAACGCACACTGCGCAAATATATGTGGTATGGCCTTTTGTCCCAAAGGAAAACAAGACAAATACTAATGTTTTACGTCGCTTGTGGTGGCAGTCAGTATAAACCAGTATAAGGATTGCAGCTGATAAAATGAATGAATGGGTGGAAGGGGATGCGCGGGGATCACGTGTGCGCCGGGCTTCCCTCTCCTGGCTCACGGCAGAACTGCATCTGCCCTCTGCTCGCCGCCGTATTGAAATAACAAGCGCTCCTTCCCTCCTGTGACACATTTCTCGTTGCCTGTCAGAGCTGCGCCGTCCAGCCGCGGGAGGAGAGTGGAGCTCTCGTGGGCTGAACGGAACCACAGAACCGCAACCGCCGGCCGCTTATTTTTCGACGACTTTTATTTATTTGTTCAGAGAAATGACTCAACGTAACACGGCGTTCAAGGTAAGGCGGACTCCCGACGAGCCGCGGCTAACGGGGCTAACGGCCGCGCTAGGCTACGTCGCCCGAGGTTGAAGCAACGTTAAGCGGTCTCCCAACGCCGCGCACGTATCGCCATGGACACTACCGCCTTGGTAGCGTTAGCTTACACTACGTGGTTGACACGCTCGTGACCGGTGAAAGCCGCCTGGCGTTCGAGGCGGTTTGCGGCTTACCCGACGTTAGCCCCGGTTAACTTTACGTTGACATTGAGTTCAAGAGGACTGTGTGTGTGTGTGTGTGTGTGTTTTACATGTAACCTTGGCTTTTTCGGGCACGCAATAAACAACGCAATAGCTGCCCGGGCTAAATGCCCTCCCGATATGCGTATCATTAGCCCCTTTTAAACGCTAACGTTTTTGTTTTTACCACACGAGGCTCGTGTCATCACATTTGCAAAAATAAAAAAAGACGATGACCGACCGACTCGTGATTTTTAATTAACAAACACAACCCCACTTTGCCCCGTTTCTGCGAAAGTAACAAATCGGAGTTACTTTCGCAGCACAAACCAGACACCGGGCGTCTGCGTTGTGTGCCATTGTTGTCTGCCCGGCTAATTTCCCCCCTGCACACTCCCTCCATCTGTCAAACAGCGACTTGTGCTGTTTGACCTGCTTTACAGCAGACAGCTCTGAGCGCGTGCGGCGGATTAAACCGAGTCCTGTATGCGGTGTTTCTGTGGGCGTTTGACCTCCGTGGAATAAATAGAATGTGATCTGCAGGGAGATCAGCGGTGTCCCACAATAACTGCCTTTTTTTAATGGATCTAGTTCAGAATGACGATTGTCATGTTTGTGCATATAAGAAAACGCCACAAAATAGCACAATGAGTTATTTGTTTTCCTAAATGTGTGTGTAGGATTTAAAAAAACAACTTACAGTTGCATCCCTTAAGAAAGGGCCACACGTATAATCTCAATTCTTATCATGGTGATGGGATATAATTGTGATGATAAAATGGATAACAACGACTGGAAAAATAATGGAAACACACTGTCATAATGGCTATGTTCACCTGTCACCTAATCCCCCCTCCCGCTCCAGCTTCTCATTCTTTGACGTCTTTCTTTTGCCTCCAACAAAGTCACCCTATCAAGTACTCTCGGTCATTGACCCCCCCCTCCCCTCCCTTTTCTTTTTTAAAAACCCAGTTTCCCTTATCAACGTCCATATCGCCTATTACAGCGTCTGCACTAAAACGAGATGATGGCTTACAAGGCATTCATCTGCAGACGGACTATTTAAGCAATAAGACTTTAATTTCAAGGGAAATGGTGCAGCGCCATCGGTGTGAATGTCTCTTGACTTGCACACGGCCAAACAACGTTTTAGTGTGAAAGCAATCATTCGTAAAGTAACTCGCCGAGGCGTTGGCCGTGGTTCTTGATGATGATGATGATTAGCAAAAGTAAGGACCAAGCCCGTATCTAACTCCATAATCTTTAAATCTCTAAACGTTCAAAGGCTATTTAGAGATAGTCGGCCGGTGGATGTGCAGTACACAGCAGCAAGGCCCCAAGGAACCAACAGTCAATTCTGTATTGAGCAAGCGCAAACTAAATGGAGATCAGTGTTATTTATTTAGATAAGAATCCAACTATTGTGAGTAAAAAAAGGTTTCTAGGAGAAGTGTCAATTATTGACACAAAGCTATTGCGAGGTTTATGAAGGAGGAGGCAAATAAACCCAGCCGTTTGATTTGCCGATCATGTATTTTTCCCTGTCCCCCCCTTCGGTCCCAAACGCTGTAGCGCAGCGTACTCCCTGCTGTGGATTGTTGTTAGTTATTGGAACCACAGGAGACCAGCCCACATGCCGTACACAAAGAGTCCGCATCTGCAAATCTGGCCTAACTGGAGCCGGCAGGTGTTGAGTGAACTTAGCTCATACCAACAGGGCGATGCATCTTGTGTGATTTTTAAGCTATTGAATACAACTTGTTTGTCTACTTTACAATTTAAGACCTTTCTATTGCTCAGGGCTAATGGCCACAAAATGCTGAGCAGAGGTCAGCGTGTGGAAAGCTCCACCAATAAGGAGATCGTTGTATTGTAGAAATCTGATGCAAATCCTGCTTTTGGTTTAGTTTTCGTATTGACTGTTTCTTTTATGAATTAGTTGAACGTATATTCAAAGCGAAATATGAATTTGTACTGTTCAGTTTTCAAGTCAAATTTGAGGACAGTGTTATTTTCACACAAACCATGTCCAGCAAACTGACAGAATATCTCTTTTAGGGGTAATTAGTAGGTTCTTGCCCAGCAAACGGCAACTCGTATATTACCAGGAGCGATGGCTGCATTAATATAATTAAAGATTCAACCATGTGACATTCCTGTGTCTTCCCAGCTCGCCAGCTAGTGGAGTGTGATCTGAAGGGAGAGAAAAGGGACGGCGGAGAACATGGATCTGTCAGACGGCTTGTTGCTGCAGGTGAACAACGGAGAACAGTGGTGTAACCGCTGGAAACATCCCAATGACGACTCGGTAAGCCGTAGCACCAATTGCCCGTCACGATCGCATCCTACAGTGGGATCAGCATTACACACCAGATCTCATCTTGTCCCGGCAACTCCGCGATGACATTTGTGTGTGTGGCTCTTTTCTAAAGGACCGCAGCACCAGCCCCTCGGTGCTGCGCTGTGTTGCCAGCACGTGGAAGGAGGGCCTGCTGAACAGAAAGAGGCCCTTTGTGGGCCGCTGCTGTCACTCCTGTACGCCGCAGAGCTGGGTAATTCACCACCAAATCTAATTCCTTTTACCAGACTCCCGTCACATCCGCGGTGTTGTATGTTCTGATGAGAACATTTTGTAAAATGATCAATATGCAGGATATGCCGGGGCTTTTCAAAGACACTGTAAATAAATCTCAATCCAAGTGACCATTAAAATGAGATCTTCTTTATATGCAAATGAAATTTGTAACAGCGGAGACAACAGCTGTTTTTGTACATATTTCTTTCTTTAAACGTAGGGGAGTCGGGTTTCCTGCCCCCGTAGTAAACTGGTGAATCAGCAGTGTGACAGGTCAATAAAATACTCTGTAAATATAAGTCAATCCAAATCTGGCCACACTGACTCTGAGTCGGTGTCAGGCTGGTCTGACTCTTGGTGACTCCTGCTTCTTTGGAACATTTAAAGATGCTCATCTGGATTCCAGTCTGCATGGCCTGCATATGATTGTCCTATAATAATTACTTGTCAAGAGACAAGTCATGCATCATCATGCATTTCTTTTTCAAATGTTCTCATTGCTGTCTCTCGGGCTCTTAGTTGAAGTTCTGTGGGTGCTGTCTTCCTCCCAATATTAATCATCATTGTCTCGGTCCCAGGAGAAACTGTTCAACCCCAGTATTCCATCTCTGGGACTCCGCAACGTCATCTACATTAATGAGACCCACACCAGGTAAGTTAAAGCAAAACCTACTATACTATGGTTTTTGCCTTTTTCTGCAGGATTTTTCTCCGAGCAGTTCATTAGTCAGGCAACTTCTGAAACTATACAGTGAGCTGACTCACCCTGTATGGTACTAACAATGTGGTGCAGGCGGGCTCTGGCCCTCCTGATAAGGAACTTTAAGTCAGGCCAAACAGTGGAAAGGTAGACACTTGAATAATTTAAAATGAACGTCAGTTGACACTGAACACATGCATCCAGTGACTGATTTAGAAGGTGAAACCCAGTGTTTAAATTACCCCGAAATCAGCTAAAGTATACATTTTTGTTTGAGAGTACATGTTCTATGAATGAGATGGTTATGTGTCATTTTATTCTTTAATATACAGACAAAAATATGTTAAAGCCTCCATTAGACATACGTGCAGTATATTTTGAGAATGTGTTCTCCTCCTTACATCTTTCTTTCTTCTCGATGCAGACAGCGCGGATGGCTGGCGCGCCGGCTGAGCTACGTGCTGTTTGTCATGGAGAGAGACGTCAACAAAGACATGTTCACCAGGAACGTAGTGGACAATGTGCTCAACAGCAACGGGTAAACAGCCTCCCAAACGCCACCATGCATATGTTGGAGCTCGCCTCAGTTGTGCAACCGGGCTCGAGTGTGTGTTGTGTCCCCCGTTTGGTTTAAAAAAAACAACAACAACAAAGAAAACCTTTCAATTTATATTTGTGTCCACTTGTGTTTTGTTCTGCGCTCGGGTCCCCGTCAGGGTGGAGTGTTCCATTGCAGAGGTGGCCTCCGATTTGGACGCCGCAGGCCGCCACCCGGGCCAAGAGCACAAAGCAATCAGTAAAGTGAAGCAGAAAGCAAGGGCCTTCCTTCAGGAGATGGTGGCCAACATTTCACCGGCCTTCATCAGGTACGTACCGAATATCAGACACACTTTAGGAAGGTCCTGTTCACGTGCGAGGCTACGCACCCTGCGTGCACCTTGTCATTACGCTACGTTGCACTAAAACAGACGGAATTCTGCTACAGCTCAAGTTTTGGGCTCCGTGATCATGTTCCACATCTTCTCACACTCTTCCTGTTGTTCAGGCTGACAGGTTGGGTCCTCCTGAGGCTCTTCAACGGTTTCTTCTGGAGCATCCAGATCCACAAGGGTCAGCTGGAAATGGTCAAGAAAGCTGCTACAGAGGTCAGCAGAAAGTACACACACAGCTAAAATAAATTCTACTCACAGCAAGATATTTTCCACAGAACATGCAAGATGCCGTTTTCAAAACATAGTGTTTCCACGGGGATTCCAAAAACATTGAAAATCACAATTCAATTCTGATCGATGCATATATGAATGTAGATTATAGCTACTGTAGACTCATCAAATGATGCCATGAGAAATGTGCTTTTTTAAATAAACCCATCTATGTCTCGTCTCTACAGCAAAATGTGCCAATGGTCTTCCTCCCCGTTCACAAATCCCACATTGACTACCTGCTCATCACGTTGATCCTGTTCTGTCACAATATCAAAGCCCCTCACATCGCTGCTGGAAACAACCTTAGTATTCCCATCCTCAGGTAAAAGGCCTGCAAAGACTCCCGTCAAGTTTGATCTCTAAAGAAGGTGTATATGCTCAGAAAGGGAAGTCGCAGGGATCAGTTTGATTTAAGAACAAAGGGAATTCCTTAGAAATAGATCAGAGGGGAATAAAAAGCGATCTAAAGAGTGAAACTAAAGATTGACATAGATTTTTACATTCAGGCTAATATTAATGTCATGGAAACCCGCCCACAGCAGATGGTGATTGTGATATCCTTATAGCAGTCTTTGTATAGTATTTAAGGTTCAGAAACAGATCTAAAGTAAGTTCTTTTCTTTCCAGCACCCTTATCCGTAAACTCGGAGGATTTTTCATACGACGGAGAATGGAGGAAACGGGCGATGGAAAGAGAGACATTTTGTACAGATCCCTCTTACATGCAGTAAGTCCCAGGAGTCTATTGATCTCCTAGAGTAAATGTTTATCATACCGTTGTCAAGTTTAGTTTCGTCTGTAGGTTGTTTGGATTTTCTTCTTATATAACTGCATGCTGTCTTCATGCTTTCTGCTCTGTTTGCTCCTTTCATTCCTGAGTGATTGGCAGTGAGACTTAAAAGCTTTTGTTACATAATGCTAGCTCATGTGTGCATTTTTTCCAGCTCTCTCTCTCTTTCTTAGCCTTTACTGACTAGTTAAAACTTTGAAGATTCCGACATATTGCTGATATTCACATTTATTCGTTTTTATGCTTTTATCTGCACATTTGCTGATGAAGATCAGGCTGGACTCGTGCCGCTTTCAGACTTTGATTGCAGTGGTGCATGCGTAGGGTTGCTTTGGACCTGTGTGATTTTAAACATTTCCAATAACTGCTGAGCATTGTGTGGTCCAAAAGTGCAGTTTTTTTTTTTTTTTAAAGGCTAAATAATTTCCAAAATTCAATCCTCTTTTTGTCCAACAAGAGTCTTCTGCTTTGACAATGATATTTGTCTAATGGCAAACTGCAAATGTACAACCAGTCTCTATCTTTTAAGTAAGTTACTTAAACACTAATACAATCCTTTTTAATGGTGCAAATGCTTTTCTTCACGCCACTGACCTGGATCCAACTCGTATTCCCTCTGCTTTTCTCTAAGTAGGTTGATGCATCTTCTGACGTACTTAGTTGCTTGCACGTGAAGAGTTGTGAGGGCAACTAGCGATCACTTTGTACCTGCAAGGAGGATGGCCACATCTTTGATGATGGTTGGAGTCAAGCCCGGCTGAAAGAACGAGAACTTTTTGCGATGTTCTTTCCACCCTTGTGTGTGCATTTTACATCTCAAGAAAGTCTGTGCTGCCAAAGCCTTTTGAAATGACTGAATGGGAATTAGAGGCTGATTTAAAACTGGAATCCGAACTTGTTGTTGCGCTCTAGTATTTGGATTATGTGGATCAATAGCTAATGAGAAAACCCTGAAGTAGAACTAATGTCAACAACTACTACGTGGATATTAATGCTCGTTCGCTGTGTGTAAATGTGCTTTCTTTAAAACAGCCAAGCTGCTTGTGTGGATTTAATTGTACTGGTCTTTCACAGAATTGCAGTGCTTGAGATAGATAAGAGCTATCCGCTATATTTTTTTTATCCCTTTGTAGCCCCAATATTTTACAACACCTTCCACTCAATGAAGTTCACTAACCGACAAGGTGATAATCAATTGATTTCATCTGGAATGATTCACAGAGGTGTAATTTACTGTACTAAATTAAAAAAAAAGAAAAAAAAGAAAGGCATGTGCTTTTTTTAAGTTTGACTTCTGGCGTTTAGAGCTGGCTGTAAAAAGGAATGGACTCAAATCCAGAACAAAGCTTCTCCCAGAAGTGTCGCCATAGGAGGAGGCAGCTGTTCCACATGCTGTACTCTGGTGGATACTGTTGCACAAAATGGTTGCCTTGGCATGCGCCCACTTCCCTGCGCTCCATTTTGGGGGTCAAAACTATCGGAGATCACCCACCCACTTCGAACGTCTCCTCCGGCTGCACACCCAGCAGTGTAGCTCGTGTAGGAGTCAATGTTGTGATACAGAATCGCAAAAAAAACGCTTTTAATCAAAACACAGTAGAGGCACATTACTCCCACTTTTGACTGTTAATCATTCATCTTATTCTCACTACAACATCTTTTTTTTTGTTCTCTCCCTCTGTGCTTCCTTTAGTATACAGAGGAGTTGTTGCGTCAGCATCAGTTTTTGGAGGTCTACCTGGAGGGTACCCGCTCCCGCAGCGGTAAGCCGTCTACGGCGCGTGCGGGCATGCTGTCCATCGTGGTGGACACAATGTGGACCGGGTCGATCCCAGACGTGCTGGTGGTGCCAGTTGGCATCTCTTACGATCGTATTCTTGAAGGCAACTACAATAGTGAGCAGCTGGTGAGTCCTTGGTGGCCGTCTGTTGTTAGAAAGTACGCTTGCTTTTTGCAACAAAGGTGTTTTTTGTTTTTTCCCTCAGTATTTCAAAGAAGCACAATAGATGTTACACCATTTGCCTTTTTGGTGGGATAACTGCAATATGTTTGCTTATCGTTGTAAGTAACCTCCTGAACGTTTAATTCCACCAGGGCAAGCCTAAGCAGAACGAGAGTTTGTGGGGGATCGCGTGTGGAGTGTTCAGGATGCTGAGGAAGAACTATGGCTGCGTCAGAGTTGACTTCAACCAGCCCTTCTCCCTAAAGGTGACTGAGCGCAGGTTCACATTTACATCCCTTTTGGTTACCTACACATTTATGGAAAAAGTGCAAACAATGACAAATAAAGGAATGTGGCATGTTCAAACTGGAACGCATTGGTTTGTTTGTCTGTCTCTGCAGGAGTACTTGGACTCTCAAAGAAACCGCCATATTCCACCGTCAGTGTCCTTGGAGCAAACCTTGATGCCCATCATCATCTCTGCACAGTAAGGGCAAACGCACACACACTTGCTGCTGTCATCTCGGCAGAAACCAGCTGCCTCGCATTCTCACCTGTAATATTACGAACGGCCACGTCCTAGCTTGACTTCTCCCTCCTGCTACTTCACAGCGTGCTCTGTTTTGTAACCTCTGAGTAGATCACTTGAGTTCGCAGCGGCAGGGGGCGGGCGGGGGGGCACTTGAGTTCAGCACTGTCCCTTCAAAATGAAACTGATGGTCCCACAGTACATCAACAAGGACAGCAGCATCCCATCTGGTCTGGAGTCAAAAGGTCTATGCCAGATGAGCAATTAAAACCACCAATGCACAATGCATAAACTCCCATGCCCAATAGTAGCCTATTAGTAGACATTGAATGATGACATTTAGTGAGATATTGGGCTTCCCTCAGTTCAGATTAGTGTTCGGGACATACAGGGCAGTTGGTCAGCATAGAGCTGTTGTGCAGAAAAGCGGTACAGTGGGCAAACTCCAGGCCTTTTACATTCATGTCTCACGTCAGTCCAAACTAATCCTCTAAATATTGTATTTGAACTTCTATTGGTAGTTTCACTCATTTTATTATAAACGTGTTTAAGGAAAGCTGTAAATACATGTGTGAGGGGAACTTCTGTGTGCATATGAGGCTGACGTTACAAGACAATCTTTATAACTTGTTGTTTTTGTTGTTCCAGGCCTGATGCTCAGCTGTTTGAGGGGCAGGAAGAAGAGCAGCTGAACAGAGAGCTGCCCAATGATATTTTAAGGCGACAACTTATTAACAACCTCGCCAAGCACGTCCTCTTCAGTAAGAGACCCTAAACCCTTCAGCCATTGGTTTTATTACACCCTAACTATAGCCCTGTTACAGATTGCATTAAAGGTCATCATCTGCCTCACTGAGACTTTCCACTTCACTAAAATCACAGTGCAGCTCTTGTTTCTTTGTTTGCAGTAAAGGACAGCAACACAAATGTCATCCTGTTAAAACGCTTTTAACCAGCATGCCGCATTCAGCTAAATTTCTTATGACATGATCACATGCCGTTAATTAAAAACACCAGAGGACATGTTTGCTGCTTCAATATGCATTCCTCTTTTCCTTCTGCACACCATTCTTCTTTTTCATCCTGCGTAAAAAGGGCACCTGCCTGCTGGAGCTAAGGCTGCGCGTATGGAGTACTATCCGTCATATTGCCTCTATTAGTTGGAATCCAGCACAGCATCAGTCCATCCGCCTCACATCACTCCCGGCTTTTTTACCGCGGGGGGAAGCACTACAGAACCGGTTCTCCCCAGCTCATTCAGCTGCATTCTCCTACGCGAGGCCGGTTTGTGTTTTGCTCTCGGCCAATCAAAAAGCCTCCAGCTGGATGGCATGTTGTTTTCAGCCAATCGGATGAAGGGGAGGACAGAGAAGCAGAGGAGGGGATTAATGCAGTACCACTGCTCACACACACTTTACACCCCTGAACCTGAGCTATGCTCAACATGACCACTAGTGACCCGTGCACGCGGGCCTGTGCACATGCACACATTGCTATGCACACATTAGTATGCACACATTGGTATGCACACATTGGTATACCTTCACATTGTACCTAATGGCCTGCAACAAACTCATTGCTCAAATGAGATTGGCAAGTTTATTTTAAGTCCATAAAATGCCAAGTGAGTGGTATTCATGGGTGATGTGATGTGGTAGATTTGTTGGCGGTCCGTTGTGTGTTTTGTATCGCAATCTCTTTCCGTCTTCTCTCACAGCGGCTAATAAGTCATCGGCGATCATGTCCACCCACATTGTAGCCTGTCTGCTGCTGTACCGACACAGACAGGTAAGTCAGGCTTTTCATGTCCCCTTGAATACCACGCCCTCCGCCTCTCTATTCATTATTCCTCTGATTTTCTTTCTCCCGTTCGTTCTTCTCTTGTCCATCATCCTCTCTTACGCCAAGGTGATCCAAATGTCACATAGCTCTGCATGATAGTGATGAAGGTCCCTCTCTGTTAGAGATCTCGCTCTTCCTGCATCCTCTCGTCTGCGCGTTAGTGGTGCGCCGCTGCCCTCTGCAGGCCCCCTGATGAAAGTGTGTTGCAGTGGTAAACAGTCGCTGAAATAGACTTTCTGTTCTGAGGAATTTGGCCAGTGCTGCATGCAACAAAATCCAAGCCCGGTATATTAGTTTATGGAGTCATTTATCCCCGTCTCTCTGTTTTGCTTATTTTGATGTGTGTGTGCTCTTATCTCCATTTTGCTCCAGGGGGTGGTGCTGTCCAAGCTGGTGGAAGACTTCTTCAATATGAAGGAGGAGATCCTTTCACGGGACTTTGATCTGGGCTTTTCGGGGAACTCCGAGGATGTGGTCATGCGTGCCCTCCACCTGCTGGGAAACTGCGTCAACGTGACCAGCAGTTCAAATCGCAACGGAGAGTTCACCATCGCACCGAGCCAAACTGTACCAGCGCTCTTTGAGCTCAACTTCTACAGCAATGGCCTTTTCCACGTCTTCATTTCTGATGCAATCATTGGTGTGTTGAGCCAGGAGATTGTTGTTGTGTTCAGAGCTCATCACTTATCTTTGACTTCTTTACTGATGTGTTGTAGATCAAGTTTTCCCATTCTGAATTTTCTCGCTCAAGAGTTTTACTTTTCTGATGCGTCTCCAGCTTGCAGCATCCTGTCACTGCAGCGAGAGCTGGTCGTGGAATCCGAGTCGGATCAACCGGCTGATGGTCCCAGCAGCCTCCCTCTCAGTCAGGAGAGGCTCATCCGCAAGGCCGCAGGGCTCTCACACTTTCTCGTGAACGAGGTGTCTGTTGCACCAGTAAGTCCTACTCATTTTCCTCATCTTTTTGCACTTTGCACTGTACAAAATAAAAAATGTACTTCTTTGCTATCTCTGAAGTAAAATTTAAAAAACCTTTTATTAAATGGGCCAGTGAATCCTCATTAGATCTCAAGCCATCAGCTCAAGCTAGTGGTCACATGCTAATAATCAGTTGTGTTGACATTGGTTGTTGGTTTCTGTCACAGATTTTAAAACGGACTCCACACGGTTCGTTGCATGTTTCACAGTGCCTCTCCCTCTCCTCTCTCACAGCCCTGTCAGACTATTTACCAGGTTTTTCATGATGCAGTGACCCGGCTGATCCAATATGGAGTTCTCTACGTAGCAGAGGTCAGTTTTCAGATACAGTCCTCACCGCAGGTGGACACAAAATAAACGTAACCCCTGTGACTAATCCTGCAAGTAGAGTCATGAAACGCTTGGAAAGTGCAGTTAACTTTTGATTTACTACTAAAAAAGTTTGCATGTGTTAGAAATTTCCAAGGCCCAGATGATTACTGTAATTTTCTTGTGTTTGACAGGAGGACCACGAAGAACTGAGTCCCAGTCCGACGGAGGAACCCTGGCCCAAAAAGTTCCCAGAGCCCCTTTCATGGCGAAGCGACGAGGAGGACGAGGACAGTGACTTTGGAGAGGAGCAGAGGGATCGCTACCTAAAGGTCTACTTTAGAAGTGCTAATCTAAAGAGAAAAAACACTGACATGGAACCAACATCTAGGTTTACGTTTCCACGTTTTAATCTTTCTTTACCCTCCCGTTTTTAGGTGAGCCTTTCCGCAGAGCACCAGGAGTTCTTCGTCTTCCTGCAGCGGCTCGTCAGCCCGGTGCTGGAGGCCTACAGCGGCGCTGCGATCTTTGTCCACAGTCTGAGTCAGCCCATGGCTGAGTCTGAGTACACCCAGAGGCTCTTCAGATACCTGCTCACCCGCACAGAGAGAGGAGTGGCCGCTTATGGTAGGACTGCAATATTTCCCCACACACAAGCTTGGTTCCAACTTGGGAATAAACACATAAAAGGCACTGCTTTTTTCAGTTTCATCCATGTATTATTAATGTGTGTGTGTGTGTGTGTTTTTTTTTTTAGGTGAGAGTGCAACTCATTATCTGGTCAAGAACACCGTGAAGACGTTCAAAGAGCTCGGGGTAAGAGTGCGTGTGTATATATGAACACATGATGTGTTGGAATAAAGGAGGGCTCTGGGGTTCCTCCGGCTGCAGTTGAGTTTGCCTTGTGTTGTGATCTCCTGAAGGTCCTGAAGCAGAGAAAAGAGAACCAGGTGACGGCTGTGGAGCTAAGCAGCACCTTTCTACCTCAAGCCAACCGGAACAAACTCCTGCACTACATCTTAGGTTTCGCGCTGCTGTGACCGACACACCTTTCAGCCCAGCCGGAACCGCAGGCTCCTTCCAATAAAGGGCTTCTACTGGTTACTTCTAAACAATCCCAGGTGCTAGTCTGTGGAAAGCTTTACCAGGAAGTGCCTTCATGTAACAGGAAGAGACTTGAAGACAGTCTTCCCTTTTTGTTCCCGTATCTGACTCCCCTTCTTAGAACTGTGCGGCTGATAAAACACATGTATTGTTCTTTTGAAGAGGTGCCGCTAGGGATCATCCTCTCTTTGTGAACTTTTGACATTGAAGACATGAGGTTTTAATATCATCTACATTTTAAACTTAATCAGAAAATATACTCAAGCAGGTTAGTTAATAAGAATGACTTTTACAGCAATCTGAACAAAGCAAGCTGCCTTTTGTCTATTCAATTAATCAAGCAAAATATGCATAGAGAATAATTATTAACATAAACAACAAAGGCATTTTCATGTTGTCTGTTTATTTTAAAGCTGCTGTATTCTCTCTAGTGCACTCTACTATCATACAGTAGAAAACATGTCTAATGTAGCTGTATGAAAGGCTGATTGTGAAAACAAATAGGCCACAAGAGCAAGTGTCTCATCCGTAGTGCATTTAGAGTCATTCACTCTGGCATCATTAACTTTAAAAATGTAGGTACATTAGATAGAATGTGTTTTTTCCTGCAACATACGTACGTATCCAAATCTTAATTTGCTAAATTAAGTAGTGAAATCCAATCCTCCTTACAGACAAAGATGATCAATTATGCAAATTATACACAGTTCATATATCAAAGATATACGCAGAATCGATTTGTCCAGCCGTGCAAAAATAGCTACTAAAATATACCTGTTAAAAGTCCTGCGCAGTCCAAAGTCCTTTCTAAGTGCATTCAGCTCCACCTTCTTGTCATTGGTTTTTGATGATAAGTCACTTTCATTTCTTCGCATAACAGCTCTTTCACCTGTTGATCAATGTTCCATAGCAGAGCCCTTAGAACACTTAATACCAGCCATCACATCCACGTTGGTTCAAATGCAACAAGCTCAAACTCTTAGGTTATGCCTTACAGGGAACGCAGAGATTTGGGTTCCCCGCTACACTTTCTTGTATTCATAACACACTTCATGAAACTGCTGAGGGAGCAGCTTTGCTATAATGGATGTGCATTTGCGAAACAAATACTCCATTATAGCAAAAGACAATTAAGTGTTGGCAAGGTGGTGTCTCCGCTGTACTGGTGAAGAAAAGAGAGGACGTCTTTCTCCTTCGGATGCTTTTAAATGCAAACTACTGAAAAACTAAATAATAGTGCTTAACTGTCAGGTTAATCTATTTTATTCATCTTTTCATCTTTTGTTCCAAAAAAAAGAAAGAAATGGTGTCTGAGAGGTTGGGAGTTGAATATTTGTGGTAACAGAAAATAGGCAAGAGGCAACATCAAACACAGACAAAAAAAAGATGAAAAACTCTTTGTGCATTTTAGCTGCTTAACAATTATACTTTTTCATTTTTGCTGAAAAATCTGAGGACTCGAAAAAATAAACGTAGAACATCTAAGTAGAGGATGGTGTCTGAGTGAACACCAAAACGAAAAGACAGCATGTGTTTGGAAAGGGTGGAGAAAAAAAAAGAGAAAGAAAAGCTGATTAATTTCTTATGTTATTAGAGGCGATGCTGACGGCATTTTCTCCGATTGATAATGTGAAGCAGACAATGTGAATGTTGTCAAACAACATTCTCCATCTGTCAGGGCAATAAAAGAACGTGGGCATTGGGTGTCTGCCGGTAAACATTTAAATGAGTATTTATACTAAAAGACACTGCTTGTTGCAATTAACTGAAATGCTTTTTGTCGACTTCTTGATTTAATAATATAAACCTGCCTATTTTTGTGCAGTCAAATCTGTGTACGAAATGACCCTGAGATGGAAACTCGTTTGTGTTTGCCGCAGCATGTTGAAGAACAGGAGCGTACGTCATTTAAACGTGAATGTGATCAAAGTGATTTGGTTTACATTAAAGGCCTTTTCGAGCCCCATAATCTGTTCAGGTCCCCATGTTGAGGGACCCCCCCCCTCCGCCAGGATAAAAAAAAAAAAACTACTGCGTACTGTACTGCATGTCTGCTCTGGTCGCCTTTAATCATCGACAGTTCAATGTGAGATGAGTTTGATTCGTTTACCTCCTGAATGTATCTGTCTCTTGAAAGGTCAAAGCGATGTTGTACTCGATGGTGTCGATTGGTTGAGAGTCATGTCTGCATTAACAGCATCCCTGTACAACCATGTAACTTTGTAGGATAAAAGAAAGCCTGTATCTGGGGAGCAGGTGTCTCTTTTTTAATACACTGTAGTGTTCTCTGGTTGTGTTTTCATTGGTTTGTTTCTTGTGCATGTTATTTTGTGTTGGAATCCAAAAGGACACTGTAGATTGTAATTTAAAACAACACAAGAGCAGATGACTTGTTACTAGAGGATGAATCACCAGCTACTAAAAGAAAATGTAAAGTGTCACTTTTTTTTGTTCTTGCTTTCTCCGAGCAAAGCACAATTGGCATTATTAGATTTTGTTTTTAAATAAATTAATGATAGATTAACAATTGTGTCTTGTTGGTCTTTTTATGCGTTTATTTTTAGTGGCAGAACGGTAATGTGAACGTCCAGGAATCGGTATAAAGTATTTAAATGCTCATTATATTGGATCAATATGTGGAGTCTCACAATAAGTTGGATTTGACATATTACGTAATAGTAATGGTTGTTGTTTTTAGCTCACATTTCACAGTATTGACAGAACTATTTAATTTCTTACCATTACTCAAATTAACAAATATTCATCTGGGTCCAAATTGTCTCTTAATTTCATCATTTTATAGTTTTGAAGTCTCAACACGTCTCAACATTTACTTCACACATTCTAAATTCTCCTCCTTGTACTCGGATCGCTGTAGAAATGGATCCGTCCCAAACAGATGCTGCAAAACACCCTTTGCAGTGTGAGGCTGTGATGTCTGCGTCTGCGTTTTTGTTTTTTCACCGGGGAGTTTCACGGCATGACGTGTCAGGGAGGAAGGCCGCCTCTCCTCCGTTGGCTCGTTGCAGGACGGAAGAGGACGGCAGACGGAGGTCTGGGACCAACCGGAGGTTTTGTGACCATGAGGACGACGCAGAAACGAGTGTGCATCTTTCTACCAGACGAGCAGAACCTGGACTGTGCCGTCAGGGTGCGTGGCGTCACTGCCTTTGCTGTCATTGTTACTTTACTTTTGTTTTAATGCATCATTTTGAAATTGGAAATTGAATTGCTTATTCTGCGTTTGTCTCAAGTAGAATAACACGAAGTACAAGTGAATGTAGGGGGGGTGGAGAGAGTTTGTAAGCATAACCGTACAAAAAGACCAAAGGTAAAGGAACAGAAATTAGGATTAAGGAGGCGTGTTATTTACAAAAATGATTTTGTTATAAACATTCTATTAATATTTTGTCTTTTTAAATGTAAATTTCAACAACCTTACTCTAGATAAGGTCTGAACGGATTCTTAATCAAGGTTTTTGTTCATTACACATTCGGTAAATCCTTCAAATTGTGACTGGTCATACTGTCTGATACCCTGATGCTTTTAGGCGACAGCCAGAGGCCGCGAGGTGCTGAACTTGGTGTTGAGGCAGCTTGGCGTCAGTGACCTCCAAGTCTTTGGTCTGGCTGTCCTCAGAGGTCAGAGTTCAAGAGGAAATGTTTTCAAATCATTTATTGTGGGATGGTGAAATTCAGGGAGGTTGATGACTGAACCTACGGGCGCGCCCGTCGATAGATAAAGATAACAGTGACCATGTTGTGTTTCCTCCGAGTTAATTAAATGTGTGTCCTTCATTCCTTCAGACAATGAATACCTCTTTCTAGATTTGGAAGGAAAGCTGAGCAAGTATTTTGGCAATCTATGGAACAGAGGATCCGTGATGGTGAGTTGTTGTCAGTTAGTTAACTGAGAAACATTGAAAAAGCACATTATATGCCTCATATCTGGGTAGATATTTAATCTTATCTTCCTGTTACGCAATTCCTAACATACAGAAATCAAAGCGATCAAGTCTTTTTAAAATAACAATTCTACATTCATCTCCAGGTCCCATTCATCTTATTTCTGAGAGTGCAGCATTATGTCGAGAGTGGCCGGCTGATATTGTGAGTCGGTGTCTCATCAGCATCTTTCCATGAAGCGGATCCGTTCCTCTGCAGGTGCACGAATCAATTTTCTATCCACACGTGCCGACAACGCGACCTCTCGTTGTTTAAGGAGCAGCAAGGTGCAGCAGCTCTACGTGGCCGAGCTGAGGAGGAAGGTGCTGCGCTCGGAGAGCCGCCATCAGGAAGTTCTGTTCTTCCAGCTGGCGGCTTCGGCGCTGCAGGCCGAAGTCGGAGATGTGGAGCACAGAGCGGAGGAGGAGGATGACGTGGAGGGAAAAGAGAAAAGACACAGACAATACTTTCTTCCTGAAGATTACTTCCCTCCCTGGGTAATAGAAATAATAAAAAGTGTGAGCATTTGGAGCTAACCTACATTTCTGTACGTGTGCGTAACACCAGTTCTGTCTTTAGCTGATAAAGCGCCGTGGGCGGGACTTCCTGCTGCAGCACGGCCCGGCTTTACACGTTGAGCTGCGAGGTGTGACTCGTAGCCAAGCCGCGCTGCAATTTATAAAAGAGGTCAGCAACCTGCAGGATGGACCGGTCACCTTCTACAGGATGAAACAGGTCCGACCAACCGGAGTGACGCAACTGTCACGAGACAGGCCGTCAAATTCTTTGTTTAACTGAGGAAAAGCTGCCACAATGTTTTACTTATTAAACGTCTTGGTTTGTTATGTTACGTGCAGGAGAAAAAAGAGCCGAGGAGGTCAATCCTTCTGGGTGTGACATTGAAAGGAGTTCATATTTATCAGGTGGGTCGGTCTGGGAATTTATTTTTTGTAAATAAACTGTCTTTATTCATTTATTCCTGAGTTTACGTGTGACTTTTCACCAAAAGGATTTGGAAGGGAAGCTGTGCTTATTGTATGACTTTTCCTGGACCGACATCGACCGCCTCACTTTCCAGGTCTGTCCGAAAAAACAAAACACACACACACTAAAGTACACAATATTCACACGGACGTGCATGTTGCCACATCCTCGAGCCCACTCTTCTTCCTCCTGGCCCTCCAGGGCAGTAGGTTTGAAATCACCGCGGTGGGCTCTCTGTGCCTCCCTAAGCTGGTTTACTACACGCCTTCGGCCTTCCACTCCAAACACGTCATGAGGCACCTTAGCGACAGTCACCGGCTGCACATCAGCACCAGAGGAGTAGTCAGCTACGTACAACAGCTGGATGACATGCAGGGTCAGACATTTAAAAACAAGCTGGAAATAAGAAGAAAAACATATTATGGGACTTTTAAGTTTCTCTCCCAATCACAAACCAAAGAGCCTTTTTCTTTTTCTCGCTCTTTCAGCGAGTCACTCCTACAGAGAGGCCTATGTTTGTGACACAACGCGTTTAGCACACAGACTGAAGAGCAACAGCCTGACGTCGTCCACGTCCGACCGGAGCGCGGCAGCCGAAAACGCCGCAGCCCGATCCAAACACGAGGAGGATGAGGTCACAGGTCAGGAGCGGAACAAAAAAATACCCTATTCCACAAATCATAATGATGAAAATGCATATACACTTTTTTTTCTGATGTTTTTGACGTTTTGCAAAACCCACCAGTGAATGTTGAAGCTAATTTGACTGTGGCAGAGTTTGAGCTTTGTGTGGACGAACCAGTGGAGTCATTTGTCGACAACCCAGATGAGTTGGCGTGGCTGGCTGAGCTGTCGGGCGATGGACCTGTGGGGTTTCCTTCTTCTTATTGGGCAGGTGAGTTCACATGAGCTGGACAGCGTGTCTATTATTTAACCTGCACAAGCTGATGTTTTCTGTGCTCTTTCCTTTTTAGCTGTCGCTGTGGAAATGAAACAGGTGAGCAGATCTCTCTGATTTCCAGCTCAACCCGACATCAAAGGTGTCAGTGACTTCTCTGATCTTTGTGCAGGTTGTGCAGGCGAGAGGTGATGAAGAGGTTTCTGTGGACTAATGCACAGCAATTGGCAAAGTGGATTCAAGTTTCTGAAATATATATATACATTTCTGGAAACATTCTTTATAGAAAAAGGAGAGTATATCAATTATGTAAATAAAGAATTTAAATAAATGTTTTTGTTAAAGCATGATAATATTGTGGTGTGTTCTCTTTCAAGATACAGTAACATCCACGTTCATAAGTTAGTAATATGGGGCCTATAAATTCCCTTTAAAAAATGCTCTTGTTGGCAACCTGAAAGAGTTGGAATATGGTTAAATATCATTAGGGAATCTGTGAAATTGAGTATTCTCTATTTACTTTCAATTGCATGTTTGCGATTTGCAAGAATTATGTACTGTACCACTAAATTAGAGCCAACTTGTATATGATGTACGTCACAACGTAGTCAGCCAATCAGCACTGCAGACTGCGACCAAAACACGGAAGTGCTTAAAAGGGCTACGAAACCAGAGTTCAAGCTCTTCTGTTGTCGGAAAAAATGGCAGATACAGTTTATTATTCATGTGAACAGTGAACCACGCAGAAACGTTAGGTCACATTATTTGCCGAATATGTCTTTCTCTTTGGTTTGCATTGCGGTTGTATCGTTTGTTCTCGCCATCATCGGGCACGTCTTGGGTAAGTGGCTGTGATGAAGCACTGAGTCGGCCGCCTTAAAATACGATTTATCAATTATTCCTAACCTGGCGGAAATACTGCAAAATAGATAAAGTACATTTAGAATTGTGACTAGATAACCACACGGGAATCGGACGTAACACCTTACAGGTCACAGTTAAAACAACTAGCATCGAACGCACACGTGGCTACCGTTAGCTAACTTAACGTTAATTAACAAATAGTAACCTTACAATAAAGTGTCATAGCTCAAAGACAACTATCCAAATGTGCAGCCAGAGTATTAGGTGTTGAAAACCACTAGCTAAACCGTGATGGTGTAAAGTCGGCTAACAGCACCCCCACCCGGCTCATTTCCCTCTTCCGTTTCTCTCGTAACACCGTCCCATCTGCCACAGTGATGCCGCCTTCACTGCCCTCCGTCCTCGGCGGCACCGTCGGCGTGTGCTCCCTGGTCGGCATGGCGCTCGTCTGGAGGGACATGAGTTCGAGGATGAAGGGCGATGGTCGGACGCCGGGCAGTCTGCTCAGCCAGTACCTGGCGGTGAAGGGGGTCGGCTGGCTCGGCAGGCGGCAGAGGAGGAAGCTCGAAGCCGACACTCTCGACGTGAAGGGAGTCCAGGAGCAGACGCTGCTGATGCGCCTGCGCAGACACGCGGACACAAGTTATGGAAGACAGTACGACTTCAACTCAATTAAAGGTGCGATAAGAATGAGATGGTCTTCGTTCAAGGGTTTGGTGTTTTTTGTTGTTGTTGTTGTTTGTTTTCATGTCAGGCGCGAGTAGGACGACTTGAGCCGTCATAGCTGGCCTCCTCTGACGCGCACGTGTCCTCTGACCAGCTGTGATGTAACGTGTTGTGTCTGTATATCTATATAAGTTAATAACAGACTTTAAGCAAGGTCGAGGTGGTGAAGTCTGATCCAAGTATTTTCTTATGAATTATAGTGTAATAATAATTAAATTATGAAATAATAATACAAATAAAATCGAAATAACATTTTCGGAAAATGTATCAACAAACTTGAGTTTCATTCCAATTTAATAAATGAACACGGTCATTATTTGCTATTGGACCGTTTGATAAAGAAATAGCACTAAAATCAAATGACCTCTTGCTTTGTCTTTTAAAATAGGAACCACATTTATTATGTATTCCGAAAATGAATTAAGATTTAAAAATATTAACAGCAAATTGGTTGATAAAGACAGTTTTCACTGTCAGACAGTGTTGGCTACCGGGCGCGTCACCCCATCACCACGTACGAGCATTACCGCGAGCTCATCAGACGCATCGCGGCAGGTGAGGAGAAGGTCATCATTCCTGAGAAACCGCTGATCCTGGCCATGACCTCTGGAACGTCAGGTGCCAGCGCCATGCTGCTCAGCACCAAGGACACCAACAGCGAGTTCTTCCTGCAGGTGACGCCCGATGATGATGATGGTGTATTGGCCAGCCTGCAGCGTGTGTTGTTGTGAAAATCAAACTATTATATTTATTTGTGTATTTTCGCCAGGGAGTGGCTGTGTGTCTGGAGGCCATGGGAAGAGCATTTCCTGCAACAGACAGCCTTCAGCGCACCACCAAGTTTTTCTACTCTCCTACGTTTCGCCAATCAGAGGCCGGTATTCCCATCGGACCGAACTCCTCCACCCCAGCCTCCTCCCGCCACATGCTTAACCTCTACACCACCCCTGCAGCCGCATTTGAGGTGATGGTCAACATGAGTTTCCCCTCATTATCTTGCCATGAATTATCTTTAATTTTGAACCATTTTTAAGCGATTGAATTGCCCTCCCCTTCAGGTTCCCAGTGAGAAGGACACCCTCTACTTGCATCTCCTGTTTGCTCTCAAAGATCCCAGCGTGGGAACACTGGAGTCCAACTTTGCTTCCACAGTCTTCTACGCTTTCAGTGCTTTACAGGTACAGAATAAATCATGTCATGATTTGTTATACAGATAATAATTCCATATCATGTAAAATACCCTCCTTGTTACATTCACTGCCTTTTTGCATCATGGGATTCTCTGCTTGGTGATTTGAGGCATGAAGCAAACATAAAGGTGCTGTAAATAATAAGGAACCAAAGCAGGAAAAGTTCAATGAAAATGTACATTTGTTTGACAGAGAAAGGATTAGAAAAGTAATTTCGATCCCACCTCCTCTGTCCTGCAGGACCGCTGGCAGGAGCTTGTTGAGGACATAGAACAAGGGAAGGTTAGCAGCACTCTGGCTCTGGAGGCCAAAGTGAGGTCCAAGCTGGAGGCTCTGATGAAGCCAGACCCAGACAGGGCCGCTCAGCTCCGGGCCCACTTCCAGGAAGGTTTCCGTGGGATCGCCAAGCGGCTTTGGCCCCACCTCCACCTGGTGCTGGCGGTAGACTCTGGCTCCAATCAGATCTATGGGGAAATGTTGAGGGAGAACTACTGCCAGGGAGTGCCTTTCTATTCTCCTTTCTACGCTGCTACTGAAGGTACGAGCCTGATTCCGGCAAACACTGTGTAACTGAACGACTTGTTCCGTCTTCCATATCACCACTAGCTCTAATTGTATGTGTGGGCCCCTGCAGGTTTGATAGGGGTGAACCTGTGGCCTCAGGAGCCACAGAGACGCTACATGCTGTGTCCTCGGTCAATGTTCTGCGAGTTCCTGCCAGAGAGGAGCTTGGAGGAGGAGACGCCTCCCACGCTGCTGATGGAGGAGGTGAAGGAGGGCGAAAGCTATGAGCTCGTTATCACAAACGCTTCAGGACTCTTCAGGTCTGATTTTATTTACAACCTAAAATGATCTAATGATGAATGCAATATTATAGGAAGGGAGAGATTATATTCTCATTTCTTTGTGTCGTTGTTGCTGTGTAATATGTAGATTCATGCTCACACTAGCTTGCCATTAATATTAAAATATGCTCAGAACAACAATCAAAGGTAAGTTCTTTTGTATTAGGAGATATGGATAAATCACGCTGTCCTTTGCTGGGTTACAGATATCGCCTCGGAGACATTGTGAAAGTAGTTGGATTCCACAACCAGTGTCCCATCGTTGAGTTTCAGTACAGGTACATTTTGTCCCTGTCCTCACGTCCACAATGTGATGTACTGTACGTCCGCTCATGTCCACGTGTTCTTTCGTCAGACGGGGTCAGATGTTGAGCGTTCGAGGGGAGAAGGTGTCCGAGGCGTTGTTCCTTAATGCTCTGAAGAAAGCGCTTGCTCAGTGGCCGGGAGCTCAGCTGGTGGACTACTGCTGCGCCGAGAGCGGCATCATGGGTGAGACGTCGACCGCAAACCCCTCAGCTGAAGGCAGAATTTGGGATCTGACGCGTGTGTGTGTGTGTGTGTGTGTGTGTGTGTGTGTGTGTGTGTGTGTGTGTGTGTGTGTGTGTGTGTGTGTGTGTGTGTGTGTGTGTGTGTGTGTGTGTGTGTGTGTGTGAAGTGTTTATTCTACTAATCGTCCCTTACGGTGGTGGTGGTGGTGGTGTAGGAGATTCCGTAGGCGGCTCAGATCCTCACTACCAGGTGTTCATGGAGCTGAAAGGTGTGAGAAACCTCACAGAGGAACAAAGATACAAGGTAAGACTTGCCTAGTTTATTTTTTTATTTTTATGAAATCGATTGCCATCATCTTCCTCTATGTCTCTCTCTCTCTTTCTCTCTCTCTCTCTCTATCTGTCCAGTTGGACGTTTGCCTTCAGCAGGACTCTGCTGTCTACAAGTCCTTTCGGGTCAAAGGCAGCATCGGACCGATGAGGGTGCAGCTGGTGGCCGAGGGTGCGTTCAAGGAACTCCGCAAACACATGATGGCCTTCTCCAACACTTCGCCGAACACCTTCAAAATGCACCGAGTGCTGCGCAGGAAAGAATACGCTGAATTCTTGCTGGGAAGAACTGTTTCCTGAAACGTCCCCTTGTTGGAGAAAGAGACAAAGCTTGTGGACTCTGTGGTGAGCGCTGAACGAATTAAATGTCTCCAGTTCTTTCTTTTTTTTTATCTACTGCTCATGATGGAGTTGATTTTATTGTGACTTTTTGGATCGCTACAACACAAAAATCTAAATTGCACTTTATGTTTGAGAAATTCTGATTTGACAAATTGACTTTCTTGACTATATGTGTATTTTTATTAAAGTGTTTGAGCTTTTACCATAGCTTTGTTTTATGAAATGTTTCACGCTGTCGTCCGGCATCATTAAGAACTGCTACATGAAATTATAACTACAATATCTTAATATTCTGGTCTTAATAATAATTAGGAAGGTTTTGAATGGGTTTTAAGGGCAGCAGAAGGAAATCAAGATAACATGTATAAAATCCTGCTCACCAACAGTGCTTGAGCTTGTAAAATGTTAGCATTTTAAACAATATAATCCTGTCAGCTGATCCCCTCCGGTGCTGTCGATTGATCGGCACTGGCACATGAAATGCAACAGAGAAAAGTATCCTACTGCAAACCCTCTAATTCAAATAATCAAATCTTTAGCTAAATTCAGACACAAGTGGTGTCTGTATTCCCTTTTGTTTATTTCCGACTGTACTTGCGCAAGACTATTCACTACTTGTGTCTGGACTTTACCACCACTAGAGGGGGATACTCATGTATGTAAGACTTCTACAATATCCGTTACTAATGCTACTGCAGGTCTTATATCTATATATAGATATCTATATATAGATATATCTTAGAGAGAAGATGCTTCTGTCTCCAGTGTCATTATTTTATTTTCTAGAAAGGATATGCAGAATACTGAACTGCGTCAGAGGTGACCCTGTTTACTTACTGGTTGTCGCTGCATGCCGCGCTTTTCTCCTGCAGATCTCCCTTTTCACAAAATGGGCTAATATTTATAGTGATGTCCCATTTCAGTAGAGATTTGTCGCTACTTGCACTTTTATTTTGGCTTCATAGTGAGATCAGGTCAGTAAAGGACTCAAAAAGGCCTTTTCATGAGATGGAAACTCGAGGGAACAGAGGATGGGATGTTGTTTTCCTTTCTCGAGGTATCAAACAATGAAACTTTTCATCTTCTCATGAAGCTGGAAACAGCTGATGGTTATCTTGGCCTCCTTAAAAGTGCTTCCAAGTACCTGAAGCGCAATAGTTGGCAAATAATATTTAGGTTTTTATTTATCACCCTAAATGTACCGTAACGGAGAAACAAGAAGTTGCAATGTTTCACTATTGCCGTTCAACCAGAAGGAAGTAACTGCGCCTGGCAAACAAATAATCAGGCATGTATGAATTACTGGGCTAATTTGTTGGTTGCTGGCTGCAATGTGACAACAGAGATGTATCATCCACCCAAAAACCTGAAGCTATATATAGAGTGAAGAATATATTTGTTTTAAATGCTTTTTATTGTGAAGCATTTCATTCCTAAAAAGCTTTTAAACCTGACTTCCTCCATTCAACACACTGTTACATTTGCTTTTTTTTTTTACTGTGCCTGATTAGTGGGTTTAATATAATGACGGCACGATAGGTAAATATATATATTTTTCATCCATGCTCTCGCCGTGTATTGGTTCATTGGTGACAGATTGCCTTCCTTCTGTGATTGGTGTTGATGTGAAATGGTGTGTGTCTTGTCATCCTCACGTGCCTTGAGGATATACGCACATCTGCTCAGTCACAAGTTAACTCAGTGGAAACAGCCGACGTTTGAAAGCGACAGGCGGGATTTCTCCATGGGTTTGCTGAGGGACGGAGGATGTGTTTGATTGAGAGAGGAGATGAATGGAGCCCAACACAGAGCTTATCTATTTTACAGCTTAAATCGGAATTATAGCTGCAGATCCTCATTGACGTTTAAAGCGGTAAAGAAGAGTCCTTTTCAGTTCCCTTTTTCAATAGAACAAACAATTTGATTTTAAACCCTTTTTAAAGCACCTACAAAAATAACATCATGGGAGACGGCACGAACTGTGGGTAATGTAGTCCGGGTTGTATTTCAGCTGGCTGTCTGTGCGTCACTCTCTCGTATTAGACTAGTAGATAGCATGTTTAATGGATTGGCCTCTTTTATTAGCGACAAGCAGAGATGGATGAAGTACAGGGAGAGAAGCCATTAAAAATAAATAGCTGCGATGAGCTGGCAGGGCCTGAATAGGATCCGAGAGGATGGGAAGGGGGAACATTACTTTCTTCTTGTCTGTGAGGTCTGTCTTCTACTTTCAATGCTTGAGGTTTTCCCTCTAAAACCTGAAGGATTGGTGAACTGTCCTTTTTTTTGTTTTTCTCTCCACCATGTTCTGGTGGAATGGTTTGGACTCAACACACATGTTGTTCTGACCACTTTTAAAAACAAACAAATAAACCAATAACTACATGCACAGTGGTTATTGGCCCCCCTGCAGATTGCAAACTTCATTTCTGGCTTGAGGAAGCGCCCACGCAGCTGCTGAATCTGCTCAAGTTTTCCCAGTTTAACGACGCCCCCACAATACATTTTTGTATTTCTTTTCCTTTTCTCATTTCTTTTTGTTTACTCAATTTGCACACAGCCTCACTTGATGGATGGTCTCGGAGATATATTAAAATATCAAATCCATGATGTTACAGGAAGGTTAAAAAACGCTTAAAGCTATTAGCTTGACTATCTTGTTAATTATAAATGAGGGTGCTGATAGGTCTAAATAAAGCTTCAAAATGAAATATTGTCATTGGTAAGGCATAATTCAGTTAAACTCACTCTGAAAATTCGTATTGTCCACTTTAAAATGAACAAAAGCATTCGATTCTTCTGCTTACCTTCTGCAAATAGAAAAAAAAGATCCTCTAAATGATCAGGTTTCTCAAATTGAGCTTTTAGAATTTTAGATTATAATTAATGACATTGTATTTGAGGAATGAATCGAATGAAAACGAGCATAATCTTCCTCCTGACTGCTGTCCAATGTTGAGATGACACTAATACGATAAACAATTGTTTACACCACTTACGTTGCGCCACAATTTAAGAGTTGGAGGCGACTTTGGTGCGTTTAGCACCAAGTCCTCATGAAAAACATCTCCGGGCTTATCGTTTTAATCCGCTCTTAGCGGCTTTTATCCCCGAGTCTTAATTCTCTCATGAGGACACCGAAGGGGCTGGCAGGGCGACAGTGAAAAAAACGAAAAGAATACTCTAGGAATGTTTTTTTTTTTTTTTTTAGGGCTATATTTCATTTCCCTACGCACACACACCTTGAATGTCCCCCTGAGTCGGACATGACAGACGAGCACAATGGCACAAAGTCCAAAGTGAGTACAATAGCCTGCATGGAGCGACATGCAGGTAATCCATCTTTCCTTGATTTCCAGACATGCCCACAAAAGCCATGTGCCAATAGTAGCACTATGGGGTGTAATGGTGCTGTCAGCTGCTCCAAAAAGCATCCTCTCTACCTCTGTTCCTAACCTCCGCTCCTTCTCCCTCCCTCCCTCCCTCGCTCTATACCCCTGCCACTGATGAAAACTGGTCCCCACAGAGGATGCCAGGATCTCATTGGCTGGGGCATCACAGGAGTGGATGGGAGCGAGCGAGAGAGAAAGAGAGAGAGGGAGAAAGCTCAAGAAGATGCAACTACTCTGGCGCGGCATCTTGGTAGAGCTCCGAGCTTAAGGGAAGCAAGTTTTAGACGCGTGCGCCGTCAGTTCTTGTCTCGCATATTCCGGGTCCTCCTATAGATGGAAGAAGCCGTGGACTCGCTCCACGTTGCTGCTCTGATGAGCCCACTGGCTGAAACGTGCAGACGAGCAACAGCTGGGCTGACTGACGTGAAGCCCTTTGGATCTCAGCGTCACCTGGACTTGATCTCTCCTTGTTGACTGAGCACCGACCTCTCATCGCTCTACTTCGTTTCCACTCACCTAAGGCAGCCGCACCTCAACATCTGCGTCGTGGGATTGAGCGGCTCAAGTCCTCCCCGACCCGCACTTTTTGTCTTTTTTTTGTTGTTGTTTTTTCTCCCCCCTCCCCCGGTAGATGTGTGTCCCCGGGCGGCACTGGACTGCCACCCTCAAAGTCTCCCCTGCACCGGCCCACAGCCCCTGGAAGCCACCTGCCGCGCCCCCGGGATGGTGTGACCGCCAGCCAGCTGTTGGCCGTCCCGCATCTGGGCCAAGATGCCCGTGATGAAGGGCCTCCTGGCCCCACAGAACACCTTCCTGGACACCATCGCCACGCGCTTCGACGGCACCCGTAAGTGCAACCAAAAAACTTCTAGAGGCGGTGTCGTTTTGCTTACTTGGCGGGTTTTGCACGCGACCTACTGCCGTTTCGTGTGAGGGACGTTTTCGGGGCGTCCAGGTTGGCTTAGTGGTTTGTGTGTTGGGAGTGTGTTGTCTCTGCTCATCTCCTGTCACCATGCACAATTCAACCAAGGAAAAACAAGTAATAACAAAAGCATTCAAGGTCTTTATGCGGGAAGGCTTTCGACACAGCAAAAAGACTCTACTTTGTGTTTTCTCTGCTAGAAAAGAAAGTGAGATACACTTGTTCCCTAGAAGGTCTGTGGTGCTCTGTGTCTCAGCACCGAACGCCACCTGACTGAAGCCCCACATGTTGGCAGATACAGAAAATTCCAGTTTCAGAAAATTATGTCGTCGCTTCACGTTTGTTTTCGCACAGATGGCTCCGAAACTCCTCTTCTGCTCGACTGTGTGTCTCTTGTTTTGTACATGGCGCCGCCTCGGGGGAGGTTGCGGCTCGTTGTAAACAAATACCACGGGGACCGGCTGTGTTTTTGTTCGCCATGTCGATTCGGCCTGCCCGCTCTCTGCTCCCTGTAGCTGCATGAACAAACTACCGGCTCGCAGTCATGGGGTCTCGACACCACTCGGGGGGACGGGTGGGGGGGGGGGTAAACACAGTGAAATGAGAGGCATTACAGTGTAATTGACATGTAGGCTGTGCAATTAAAGCTTTGACTTGTGGGTGAGGCATTCTAATGAGGTGTTAAATGATCTCTCAGGAGCTTAAAACACATGTTGCCAATCAGGAAGAACAGGCTGCTCTTCAAAATAAAATACTTAATCACAAAGAGAAGAGGGTTCGTGAAATATAGAGCCAGTATGGAAGCTAACCGAGAGGTGACGTGGAGCTGGAGGGTCGGGGGCCAACATGTTGAATCTAACCCTTCTGAAGGGTCCGTCAGCTAAACGTGGGCTCCCTGACTGCCCACTGCTGCTCTGTGGTCGAACCCCGTCTCTGAACATCAACAAAAACCTGAAAAACCTTGCGGATCCGTTGTTTTCTCTTCTGTTGTTATGTTTATTCCTTATCTCGGTGTCTTAGCGGTGACTCAGGATTCTTTCTCTCGCACGCTTTGTGGTATTTCAACCCTCGATATCAACAGATCAAGAATGACGGCAAACTTACGCACCTACAGTAATTTCAAAACTCAGGTGTTTATCCTTTTCCCCTGTCGGACTTCTGATAATTAACCAAATAACGGCCGAGATAAAAAGATTTTGGCGGCGGTAGGACACGCCTCCTTGCAACTATACGCCAGATTTTGTCACCTCCCGGCCAATCTCCAAGCCGATCACGGGGGCTCTGGCTCCGGGAAGAGTGGCAGCGTGCCCACCGACCAGAATAGCTTGCTTCCTGTTGCCGCGGCGACAAGGTCCCGCCACTTGACGTTGATGATGCTTGAACACTTTGGTCTTCCAGAAGATGATGGTCCGCTAAAGAGAAAACACTTGAACTCGCTTTCCAATCAAGGACTTTTAGAACGCAGCTGGTCTCTTGTTTTGGAAAGAAGCTGCTTAAAAACAAGTGGCATTGTGGGTCGTGCAGCTGTGATCTCATTTCAGCGTCTCTGCCCTCAACCTGCTTTAGTTCAAGGTGGTTTTCCACGTTGGATGGAAAACAATCTGGCTCTAGATACGATCCTAAAACCCGTTTTATAGTAACGAGATAGTGTTTGTTAAAGTTTCCTTCACTCAAGATAAATTGCTCTTCTTGTCGCTTCGCTTGAATGATTTACTCGACACTCAGAGACCGTTTCCACGTTCATCTGTTTAGGGTGTAGAAGTTTCTCCTCGAGGGATCAAGTGGATTTGTGACATCACAACTACTCTGGAAGCCGAGCCCCATTCAGAATACAATTTACAACAACGCAGTAACATTTGTTGTGTGGTCTTTAACGCATTAAAGCAAAATGTACCGATAATTCAGAACTTTTACAGATAATTCCTAACAAACCTGATGCATCTCATTATTTCCCATTGGTTGAGAATCAAAAGAAAGCACAGTGCTGACTGAGCAGGCACACAGTTTATCTAATGTGTCCCTCCCAACATTAACCTTCCCTAGTCGCCTCTTTACTGTACGATTCATTTTTGACTGGATTATTCATGTAAACCATCATTATCCATTTATCTATTTTACATGTCCTTAGCATAATTATTTCCCTAATACAAAACAAGACGACCGTTTATGCAAAGCATAACGAATCTCTGGAACACATAATACAGCACTTTAAGTTTAAAAACCCTCCCAGCCCGTCTCTATTGTGCCACTCACACGCCACGTTTCCTTTCAGTGTAGTTTCTCAAGTTTGTGGCCCTGAGGGAAACTTGTCCAAACTCACAAATGTTAATTGTACTGTGCTCAACCTTTAGGAATAACCTTTAAGGAACTGAAAGCTATTTCACATTGATTTTAATTGAACCGATCCTGAACTAAGAAAATGTGCATCATATAGACTCCTATAGGCCGCTCCCTGTAAGCCGAATGTCAGATTAGGTTAAATCAGTAACCCGAGCACAACGCAGGCCTCTGCTCATGGCAATGTCAGCCTTCCTGTTCCCCAGGGATCAGTGTGTCTGTGTGTGTGCGTGTGTGTGAGAGCCCGGCCTGAGTTATTGTACTGCACGCTGACTCTGTACGATGTGTCCGTATGTTTGTGCTTCAATAATAACTCCGTGGGGTAATCCTCGGATGTTCTGTGGTTGGGGGGGGGTCGCGTCACGGAGCACCACCACCGACTTCAAAAGTCTTTGTCGTCTAACAGGGCGGAAAACTTTGACATTGCAGTTTTCCGTGTGCGTCGCTGCTGCTGAGCTGTGCAGTTGGTTTCAGTGTTACAGCATAAAGGCCCGTCTCTTTTACGGCCATCGCCGTCTCCGCCGGCTCCTTTTACACAACCTCCCCGCTGGAGCTTTCACATTGACCACAGCGCTTGTAACCACAGGGGCTAAGAGATAAGAACTGGGTTTATCCCCCCCCCCAACGCTTTTCTGTTAAAAGGCGAGCGAGGAACCAAAGGGGAAACGAGGAGTGAGCTAGGACTGTCAGATGGAGCCTTATGGAGCTCATTGTCAGCCAGCTGATGGATGGATCTTCATGAGCAGCCAGAACACTGCAGACAGTAACGAGAGGACAGCTGAATTACTTCTGTGGCTTCTTTTCATTTGGTTTTACAGTTGCTACGTGTAATTTATGTGTTGACTTGGCGTTGTCAAAGTGTTTAATTGATACAGTCAAGATCATTCAGTAACCGCTGGGTTGCTTGTTTTCTTTTTCTTTTTTTTACCTGGCTCCTCCTGAATATATCTTCTTAAGTAAGACACGAAAATCTAAATTTGCTCCTGATGCGCAGGTCTGCACCTTCCGTGGGAGCACCGCCTCAACCGGTGTGTGAATGTAGGTGTGAGTGGGTGTGCGGCTTTGTAGAGCCCTTTGCACCATTCTCAGAATACAGTCACGCCATGAATGCAGTCCGTGTGGCTTTTTTTGTGCGATTCAGACCACAATAGCAAAGACCCTTTCGTCGTCGAAAAAAACAAGCATTATTTGGTCCTGATCATGATGTTGTCCGAAATTGCTGATTTCAAAATATGCACCGAATGATTTCCCCAATCCATTGCCTGCGAGCCTCCTCGCACTCCAACCCATCTGCCCAGTGAGTAATGAAGTGCTTCTCGGTGGTAATTAGCTGTCGAGTCAGTGGCCGAGGCTCATGGGCTTCATCTGCCTGGCGGAGGAACTCGCGCCCATGGACGCGATGCAGGCTGCTTGCTCTCAGTAGTAGCAATGCAGCGGCATCCCGTCAGATTACAGTTGTAGCAAGTCAGCACAGATGTGTAATTAAGGAAGCTTGTGCAGTGCAGCAGCCACTCAAAGCAATATCCCTGAGGGGATTACAGCCTCAGAATTGAGGCTGTGTCACAATCTCTCACACACACACACACACACACACACACACACAAGCGGTTTATCAAGAGGGTCCGTGTGGTCAGCGGACTGCTTGCTTACAAAATCGCCAGAGAAGAAATAAGTATGCTTTTGTTGAAGCTGAAGTGGAATCTTTTTTTTGAGATCCATATAAAATGAATCATTCAGGAACAGCCGATTCATCAATTTAAAATCTGAGACTCAATCCGTAAAGAAATATAATAGGGGATGTAAAAGGGACTAAAGGTACCGCATGCAGCACATTTCTGAAAATATATTAAAAACTGGACAAGGAACCTGAACTATATTCGGCGTGTGTATGTCTGCAAAGAGTCTGCAATAACTGTGATCGGAGGTACTTAAGGTTCTACTTATTGGAAACATTCTTGTCGACAGCACCTGTTTTTTCCCTTTGAAACAGGTGTTTTTTTTCTACAGATCATTAAACAAGATGTAGATGACAAGTTGCCAGTTGCAGCTTTTTCAGTCCCACGCAAACACAAGAGAAAATAAATGTGAAACCAATGCTCTCGATGTATTTCATCCAAACAAAAACCTTACCCCACCCCAACTTTTATCACTGATCAAATCCACAGTGTGAAGCAGCATCTTGTATTCCTCCTATAGATATGTAGCATAAAATTTCCCAATTGTGTTGGTTTTAACACATCCTTACAAAGTGATTTACGACTCCACCTGCCCTTGACCTACTTACGACGGACCAACGAAGGACTGCTTTGGGATGCTCGGCAGAGGTGCACCTATTCTTAGGTAAACATTACGTAAACCCGAGATGAATGTGGTTGCTCTCCAATACTTCCTGGCTCGCCGAGTTTGGGTTTTAGAAATGTATTGAACATTTCACAAGTGTAACCTAACACGTGTTCAGCAACAGTTTCCAGCAATAGTCTCCAAGGCGATGTTCTTTTTTTTTTTTTTTTTCAGATCTGAAAAGGCAGAGACTGTGTCCCAAAAGAGTATGTTCATGTGCAACGAATTTGATAGGTATTAAAAAAAAAAAGCCCTGTCACTTTGCGGTCTTACGTCATGACACAAATGTGATAATAATGTGATAATATATACACAATATTATATGCACAAAAGGTATGCAGCAGAAATGTTCCAGTTTCTCCATTTCAAAGTCTGGGGAACAGCGGATGTAGCAAAGCATAGCGTTGGCATTAAGCCTCCTCTGTTTGTTGATAGATCAGACTAATGCCTGTCTCTTTCTATAATTCCACTGTGACAGTTTAGCTGCTGCTCACTGCACATCCTGGAAAGGTTGTCACCGCTCAGAAAAGACGTCCCCTATGGACCGCTTTCTGCTCAGCCCGGCCAATTAAAGCGCCGGATTGTGGAAAGTGCCGCTGCAGCTGCTTAATGCAGCTCCTTCTTAGGCTCGCTCGCCGCGGAATCAGGTGAATTCGCACCGTGCGTGTGCGCCTTCTCTGCTCGGCAAGTCAGAAAATCTGGAGTCTTATGTTTTTCAGCAGAGAATAATTCCGCTACTCTGTGGTGAAGTTTTTATGCCTCAATGCTGATTTTTGTGAATAATTAGGAAAAACATATGCACACATATGCAGTCTCTGTACTGCATGAGGTATTTCTGCAGTACATAGTAGCTGCTGGGAAGTAGAAAGATTTTTTTAAAGATATATTGCATCCACATTTACAGATGTTGCTACTTGTGATGATATGTATTAAAAAGTCAGTTGTAATAGTCGGTTGGTAATAAACAGATGTTAGTCTGTTTATCTTTTCCACCTTTCACCGGTGGCTTTGGTATCTGGTCTTACGTTAAACTCTACTCTTCACCAGGATTAATATTCCTGTGTGTGAGCAGGACAAATATACTTCTGCCCGAGGTAACAGGGCCGAAAGACGCCTGGTGCTGCTGGAGAACTGTCCGTGGTGCTGAAAGCAAGACGAGAAACAACGAAGACCCAAAGGCGAATGTGCTTCGGTGCTGAATGAACAGCTGAAGCGGAGCGCTAATATCCACATCATGTGATCCACGCGATGTAAAAGCCTGCACACTGTACGCGTGTTTTATTCATTTGACATTCAGACGTGTGGATCTGTGGCAATCAATTTAACGGTACACTCATAATCCCTTCATACCAGTCGGGGCGAAAGGGGGTCTTGTGACTACATGTGTTACTATGAAAGGTGAATAGATAAATGAGAAAAAGAACACAAGCCTATTTGACCAGAATAATATATGGGAAGGATTGAAATGTCCTTATATGTGTTTTCTGGGTCGGTTTATATTTCAGAATTGATGAATTAAAAAAATAGATTTATTCATGGATTCATTTCCCTACGTATGCGATACAATCTTGTTTTTTAATTTGACGCTGCGGGTCATTTAGAACATCACTAACCTTTGTGCTTTTGTTAAACTCCAGTCAGCTGTTTTGGTATCTTGCAGCCCATATTTCCTTCAAACGTCCACACGTTGACCCCTCCGGGAAATTAATTCTGCCCGAGATTGAGTCCACACCAAAGTCTGATTCATGTCTACTTTGAACCTCTAAACTAGTGTTGAAGTTAACCTGCGAAGCTTTCAAATACGTTCAAGAGCTAAACAGACTTTGACTTTAGTCCAATGATCAAAATTGCAACAAACCTCAAGGTAAAAAAAGAGAGCAGGCGTCTCATGTTGGCATTGAACTTCCTCTCATCTCCATTTTTCTTTCTACCTCCATGATGCTTTGTTCCTTCTGAAAACCTTTCCGTGTCCTTCCCGCAGACAGTAATTTCCTGTTGGGTAACGCCCAGGGCCACCGCGGCTACCCCATCGTCTACTGCTCCGACGCCTTCTGCGAACTCACCGGCTTCACCAGGACCGAGGTCATGCAGAAGAACTGCAGCTGCCGCTTCCTGTACGGCGCCGACACCAGCGAGCACGTGGCCCACCAGATGGAGAAGGCCCTCGAGGGCCGGGAGGAGTACCAGGCCGAGGTCCACTTCTACAAGAAGAACGGTGGGTGCGCGCGGTGAATGACGATCAGATGGGGGAGAGCCTAAATTTTGAATATCGCAGGTCAGCTGTGCAGTACATTCTCTCTGCACAGACTGTGCATAAAGTGTTCAGTCTCCATGCAAATGGTGCTTCGAGAAAGAACGTGTGTGATGGGAGAAAAAGCCTAAAGCTAGTCTTGAATGCATATTCCCAAAGCCATTTATTCTTGAGTTTATAATGTGGAAAATAAGGGACAAGTACCGGTTATACCATCTACTTGTGTGCACTTGTTAGTCTCAATCCTCTTCAAGATTTCAAGCTATAATCCTTTTGACAGTCTTGTGCTCGACACACGATGTCATGCATGAAAGAGAACATACAACACTGTTCAAGCCTCTCCGATCGGCACACAGGATTATGTTCCCGAACCTGCAGCCTCAAAGTGTTTGAACCGTTAATCACGCTGACGGATTATCAAATAAATTCCACAGGTGAAAAGGGCCTTTTCTCGTCCGCTTCTCGATTTTCAAAGCACAGTGAGGAAGTAATAATGTGATGCTGTTTTAAACACAAGAATGATAGAACCAAAAAGAGAGAGATCGTGAAAATTCAACTTTAAAGATGTATTCATTCATTCAGTATTGGCAGTATTTTCATGATGAAATTGAAGTCTATTGATCCAAAGTGCACTACAATGGGGAAAATGCACTTTTACAACAATAAATCCTACACTGGACATAATATGGATTTAAGTATACTCAGTCAATTTTATTTTAAGTATTAGAAGTCAATGCATTATAATGACTGCTTTCAATACTATTATATATTATATAATTGAAAAAGAGAGAAAATGCCCACACTGATATTTTCATACTGCTTGTTTTTATCCAAAATGATTGAAAATAATAATTCAAATGTTTTAAATAATTAAACTAATTGTAAATAATCAAAAATTAAAAGAATACTTTGGAATTAAGTTACATAAATGTTACATAATATTCTTGTTCAACGACTTGAAAGGAAGAACCGTCTTGTTTTTGTTGTTGTTACTGTTTTACACGGCTCCTTATGATTTTCTGTCCATCAACAATCTGATTAATCAGCCAATTTATTTCAGCTACATTTTTACATACCGTTGGGTATTTATTACGGTTTGAATTAGAAAAACCTTAATTGGTTAAGTGACTTGTAGCTGGCTGACGGCTTGTCAAATAACTATGCAAAGTAAAATTAGTAAAGTAAAGTAAAAGCACCACAAAGAAAGAACAGTACTCATAGTAGGCCCTAAATACACCGCTGGCGCCTGTTGCTCACAAGCACAAAACACATAACCAGCTTCTCCATGTTGATTTACACTCACAGTATTGAGCTAACACACCAGCATCGACACTGTTTTCTTCCTCCATCCTTATCTATAACACACACACACACACACACCAGGGATGTGATGATAGAAGGGAAACATCCATTCAGCAGTGGACAGTTTCTGCCGAGTTGCTAATGAGCATTCAGGTCGTACAGATCTACGATGCGCCTTCCCTGCCGACTTGTTATAACCGACCCTCTGACTTTCCCTTTGTGCACAATCCTCCGAACATGGTCCCCGTCTAATTGGAGGTATATTTTTAGAAAGGCTGTGCCACACTCGACCAGTGTCACCGGCTCAGACACGTTGATAGCCGACAAGACACGGGACCCAAAGTCATCAACGAGACGCATCACGTTCAAACACGCACGCGTCTGTTGAGAATCGTACTTTTCACTCACGAAAATGAAGGTTTCGCATTCTCGTTTCAGGCGTGGCCTTCTGGTGTTTCCTCGACATCGTGCCCATAAAGAACGAGAAGGGCGAAATGGTTCTCTTCCTGTTCTCCTTCAAGGACATCACTGACACCTATGGACGGGGCCACCACAACAGCAAGAAGGAGGGTAAGTTACGAGACCCGTGCTTTCGTCACTCGGCCTTTATTTGCTTACACTGAGCATGATTTACGAGCGGGTCATCCTCCCCCGCCTGCGGCGTTTGCCACTGACACGTGCTGCCCTGCAGTTTTTGTTTCAGCTGGCATTGCCTGGGACAATGTCTGTCCAATGCAGGGGGGGGGGGGGGATTTGGCCGGTGGTGTGTCCTCAAGTGGAACCCGGTTGAAAATATCAAGCAGTTTTCCACGTGAAATCTGCACTGTCCACTCCGGACGTTCACCGTCTGCCTTCGTGATCCGTTTGACGTGTGCCGATCCGTGCCGCAGGTCCGGAGGACAAGAGGCGCAGGAGGAAGAGCAGCCCCCACTTCGTGGAGGCCAGGAGGCGGGGACGCACCATGTTGTACCAGCTGACCAGCCAGTTCTCCAGGGGAGGCAAGAGAGAAGTCAACCTGGGGGGCGTGAGTACTCCCGACCATGCTCACACACTTCCCGGTCGCCTCCGACAATTTTAACATCTAAAAGATGAGTTTGTAGGAGGACAACAGGAGAGTTTTGACCCAGTGTGGCTGAACTTGCTCTGTTGCACATATTTGCTGGGAGGAACAATACGCTTGTCACTAACGTGGAGGTCAAAGGCGGAGCTTTATGCGGCGTCATCATCGTTACTTTTTTACCCTTACGGTTGTTTCAGATGAGACTGCTTTGTTTAATGCGTCTACACATTATCATATATAAGTACAACTTGAAGGCTCACGGGTCTCGACCCATTTCAGCCGTGTGTTATTGCTTTTTCTTTTTGAGTGTCTGAGTGTGTTTCGAGGACATTAAAAGGTGCGTCGCTGCGGTGAGAAAGACGCGAGCTTCGGTCCGCTCCGTTGCCACTCGTACAGAACAAAGGCCTCCTTGGCTTTGAATAATAAAGTCGCAATACACTCCAGGCAAATGTTATTCATGAGAACGAGCTCTTGTTTTGCTCTCACGTGGCAAACAAGAGCGGGTTTTAGAGCGCAGCACCATTTTGAGATAATCCCACTTCCTCTTTGCAGAGGCTCAGTTACCAACTGGGTCTGTACTCAAACCTGTCCCTCACAATGTGGCCTTTCCTCCCAGGGGGCTAAAAGCAATTCAGAACGTTTCTAAGCTAAATTTAAATGTTAAAGATAAAAAAAAAGGTGAAAGCTTGTGAGACATGTGTGATTCAAGTAAAAAGGAAAAATGGCTCTAAAACACAAGTCTTTAAATGGTAATGGTATGCCCCTTACATGACACATTTTGACCTTTGCTTCTGTCTTTCTGTGTAACATCTAACGTGAAACCTGCAACAATATGAATCTGAATGAATGAAGGCCTTTTTTTCCTAATTATAGGCAAATTGATAGTAGAAGATGAACCATATTTACTGGAGATATTTAAATGTCTAGTGCTGACAGTTGATGAATTGGTGAGTCCTCGCTGGGAAAATTGTCATTTTACAGTTTATATGGTTGCACATAGAACTATCATGTGTAGGCACATGTAGACACTATTACATTGGAATATTTCTTTGTGCACTTCTTAGATGGCACATTTCTAGATGTACCTGCTCATTTGACACAATATCAAATGTGCGTGAAATTTCTGCAGATAACAGTTGAATAATCAGACGGAAGAACAGGGACACAGAGTGCAGGAGCTATTTGTGATTTAGGCTGTTTTCCTCTGCAAAGTCATGCAGCACTCATAAAGTTGTTGGACTTTAAGTCTGTTTCTGTATCGTTATCTCTCAGCCTCATCCATCCTCAGTGCCCTCAGTCCCCCCCTGTTTTTAGCTTTAGACGTTTCTCTAGTCAGCAGCTATTATACGGTTTCACTCTCTCCATCTGTCACTGACCTCATCTTCCCTCGGCTTCATCTGTCTGTATTCTCCAGCTTTTCCTCGTTTATCTGTTACTCCTTTTCTCCTCTGCTTTTAAATGATCTTCCACGCTTCCTCTGTTTTTTTACTTGTACTGATCAAATATTGGGACCCTACATCCACCCTAACTAACAACTAAAAACACATTTTTCATATTAGTGCAGTATTAAAGTAGCCTTTGTATGTTTGACTCCAGGGCAAACATTACAACCCTGAGGGAGATACAGTCCTTAATTGTTTAAATAAAAACCCTTATGAGTCTATAAACTGCAATAATTAAATGACCAAATCATTTCCTCATCCACCTGCTACAACATTACTCTTCCTTTTAAACAATAATGCACTAGTGATAATAACCCTGACAGGGGCCATAATGCTGTATTGTGAATACTTTTGATGATTGTGTATTTTTTTTTTTGCTGCTTACACAACTGAGATGTTGAATTTAGGACCCATACTTATAATACTTACATATAAACGTGTAATAGAGTATTTTTTCATTGTGGTTTCACTACATCAAGTTAAATAATGGGGCAAACTACTCTTTCCACAGTTGCCATCCTCCCACTCTGACTGTGACTATGTTCTTCCCAGTCTGTTTTTATTCTCTTCTGTCTGTCTCCTCCTCCGTCTTCCACCAGCTCTGTCCTCCCGTCTGTCTGTCTCTCTGGCAGTTAGCTAACAATGTCTTCCTCTGCCTCCACACCACAGCCAGCCGTCTCTAACTAGATCTCCATTTAGCCCTTCAGCCTCCCAGGCGAGAAAGAAAAAGGCTAAAGCTGTCTTTTTTTTAATGGAAAAGACAAAGAGAAATGCACAGATCTTTACCTCAGACCCCCGACCATAAAATACAGAAAGAGAGCACGATGTGGCAAGTGAGTGCTCTCTTTCTGTGTCAATAAATACAAATGGAAATCCATTAACTGATTTTAAAAGTTTTCACTCTACCCAATTTTCCTTTGCGTTTCAAATGGTCTCCCACACGCTGCATTGCCTCCCCAGAAACATGTTCAGCTTGAGTTTCTCTGGAAATGTTGTTTTTATTTGTTTTAATGCGGTCAGTGTATTATTCAGGCACATTGACAAGTAGTTCAGACGTGATTTTAAGGACTTCCCAGGGGGGGAACGTGTGTGCATCGTCTTCCCCATCAAGTACAGGCTTTTTATCAGCACGGAAGCCCAAAGCATCCTGGGAGATGTAGTTAGAACAGTGAGTGCATGTCAGTTAATGAAGCGCGAAGACCAGCTGCGGCTATGAAGCGTGCAGTCCCATGTGTCCTCAAAGTGCTTTTCTTTTCTAATCATCGGGATGCAAACTGTACGGCAAATTAAATACAACGGTCCGGCCTTTGCTGACATTGCTTGAACTGTCATTAAAGTGGCCGCAGCTGTTGATGGCAGCGAGTCAGTCTGCTCTTTCTCAATCTGAAAGTTGTCTCCGTTTGAACGATTTGGACATTCCTGCTTCCAAAGTAATACAATTATGATGCTATTTTGCAGGGAACAATTTGACAATCGCGCGCAGAGAGTGTGTCCTTGTTCTTTAGTATTTCTATTATCGTAAACGGTTGTCCATTGTCTCCCAATTAGTTTCAAAATATTCAGTCTATTCCATCCAAGTCAGCTTCAGAGCCCTTATAAGCCTCCATTTGAACTAATCCACACCTCTTTGTGAAGTGGCCATATTGTCCTTCTCACTTCCGTCTTTCCGTGTCGGTGTATCACGGTCGAAGGTAATAGCTTCTCGTCCTGTCCCCTAATTGGTTAAGGCTATTAAGGGCCAAGTGCCTGGCGGCATTTGGAGAACCGTGCTCTCATTATGTGCAGAATGGATTCTCTTTCCTTCTCATCAGCAAAAGCAATTGACGCTTTCTGCAATTGGATTTTCTCAATAAAAAAAAAATGGGTGGAATGAAAAGGCAGAACTTCTTGGAAATAAAGGCAGGCGTTGGCCATTGGTCCGTACCACCTGATACCTAAAACCTGATGAAGTCAAGTCATGTGTGAGATTATTAGGCGGCAATAAGTTTCCCATTCACTGACCGTAATAACACATTTAGTGTTATTACTGCCTGCCCATTTAAAGCGGTTATCCCTGTCTATAAGGAGGCTGTCGTGAATAGATAACCAGCAGCATTAACCTATCGGCATCACTGGAGTCGCACACCCATACTGAATCATCATCGGTCAGATCACAGGAGAGGATGTTGACATTTAAATTGACTGTTTCTGCAAAATCTTGGCGCACCAGACGTCCATCCGATTACCATTTAATTTTAGAGCCATCTGGTCATCAACTTATTCATTTATGCACTTTGTCCAATGTGCGTTTTTGTGTATTTATCAATGTAGGCTTAAAAAAACCCTAAAGACACTTCTCTTACAGAGCATGATTGCGAAGCCTTCAATACCGGAGTACAAGGTGGCAGCAGTGCAGAAGTCACGCTTCATTCTGCTCCACTACAGCATCTCTAAAGCCCTGTGGGACTGGCTCATTCTGCTGGCCACCTTCTACGTGGCCGTCACCGTGCCCTACAACGTCAGCTTCACGCCGTACGACGACACCGTCACGGCGGCGCGCTCCACCATCGTCAGCGACATCGTGGTGGAAATGCTCTTCATTACGGGTGAGGTGGTTGTGAGAACACGTGGCTGGCTGACGTTGTGCCGAAGTTCTCCAATCAATCCGTCGAGCCAGTTCTTTCCACTTCACTTTTCCACATGACAGCAGGGCAACAAGAGCCAGGAGACGCTTTTCCCCTGAAAGTACTCTGCCAGGAATACTGGTCAACCCCCGAAAGGGAGGACTTTAAAATGCTCCACTTAGTGTTGATGAACATTGGTTTTATCTAGAGTTCATGTCTTGAGGCCCTGGTGTTGGCAAGACCAGGGGGCCCACCAGCTTTTCCAGGGAGACGTTTTTTGTATTGTAATTGCAATTTTGAATTGAATTCCTAGATTGCAGGTTATAAAAACTAAACTCCCTTTAAAGAGTGTGGCATTCGAAAGACATACTCTGGCAAATATTGTATTTGGGACCGGAGGTGTTGACTGTTTTTGATTTGACCTTTTAGCTTCTCATTACTGAGGCTTTAATTGAGCGATTAACAGCTCAGCAAATATCAACAGCTTGCGAGACGGATACGTTTTAAACATTTTCTTTTAAAAATCAGCCAGAAGTCCTCCTCGTTATGCCTGCATGCCACATTCTGACAGTAATGGATGCATTCACGCATTCATGCTTTCAAAAGTGTGGGTGCCAAACCCTTTGCATGGCGTGGTCCAAAGTATAAACCATGAGCCGATGAACCTCCTGCGATTTAAACCAGGTTGTGATCTCTCACTTTTTCCTCATTCAGTACTGTACATAATGTGTTCATTGTTTCATCAGTCAAACACACATGTGTGAATTTATTTGAATGATTATATCCATACCTAAAATAATCTTACCTATTGTACCTAACTATTGTTTTTGCAGACATTATCTTAAACTTTCGCACCACCTACGTGAGCCAGTCGGGGCAGGTGGTGTATGAGGCGCGCTCCATTTGCATTCATTACGCCACCACCTGGTTCTTTGTGGACCTGGTGGCTGCGCTGCCCTTTGACCTGCTGTATGCCTTCAACATCACAGTGGTGAGTGCGACGGGACAATGACGACATGTTCAGTGTTTTTTTTCTTTCACTGGGACTGCTGACATGCAGAAAATTGATTATTCATAATAAATGAGCCCGCTCCACCTCCTCCGCCTTTTTGTCTTTTCAGACCTCCCTTGTCCACCTGCTTAAAACGGTACGCCTGCTACGCCTCCTCCGTCTGCTTCAGAAGCTGGATCGCTATTCCCAGTACAGCGCCATGGTGCTGACCTTGCTCATGTCCGTGTTCGCCCTGCTGGCGCACTGGATGGCCTGCATCTGGTACATGATTGGACGTAAGGAGATCGCGACCAATGACACCTGGGACATCGGTGAGTCTGATTGAGGCCTAAGAGGAAGCTGTATGTGTCAGATGGAAGCATATTCTTGCTGAAAAGGACTACGGCGCAGTTCACTCCTGCAGCATAAGAGCAACGTGTCATTTCTTTCAGAGCCGACGGATGAAGCTCAGACACAATAAACATGACTTTTGACGGTTGGTTTTCCCGCGCTCTGCCTTCTCATTCAAGGGTGGCTTCACGAGCTGGGCAAACGTCTCGAGACGCCCTACACCAACAGCACGGCGGGCGGCCCGACGGTGCGCAGCGCCTACATCGCCGCCCTTTACTTCACCCTCAGCAGCCTGACCAGCGTGGGCTTCGGCAACGTCTGCGCCAACACCGACGCCGAGAAGATCTTCTCCATCTGCACCATGCTCATCGGCGGTACGTCCGACACCGGCTCACGGAGCCCTGGCCCTCGCCGGGAGATTTAGAAGGCGGCGCTTTTTTTTTTTTAAACGTTTTCTGTCTTCCCCCGCGTGCAGCGCTGATGCACGCTCTGGTCTTCGGCAACGTGACGGCCATCATCCAGCGAATGTACTCGCGGCGCTCTCTGTATCACACGCGCATGACCGACCTGAAGGACTTCATCCGCGTCCACCGCCTGCCGGAGCAGATCAAGCAGCGCATGCTGGAGTACTTCCAGACCACGTGGTCCGTCAACAATGGCATAGATGCCAACGAGGTGGGAGTCCCGTTCATTGTTATTGTCATGTAATACGTTTGTGCACGCTGCTGTCTGCCCTCGGGGAAACCTCCAGGGGTCATGTTTAGATGGGATTTGTGGCCCGCGTCTGTTCCACGACACATTCACACCCCTTTCGCAGCTGTAACTGTTGATGATCTCCCACATCCCACGGTGCGCCTGCGCACCCCCAAATTACAACGTCAGCGGCAGCACCGTCCAGTCCCCAAATACCAGCGAGCGCCACCTCCTTATTACTTCTGTCACACGTCCCCAGCTCCTGCACGACTTCCCCGACGAGCTGCGGGCCGACATCGCCATGCATCTGAACAAGGATATCCTCCAGCTGCCGGTCTTTAAGGGGGCCAGTCGTGGCTGCCTGCGCTCGCTCTCCCTGCACATCAAAACGTCTTTTTGCGTCCCCGGGGAGTACCTCATACGTCAGGGTGACGCGCTGCACGCCAACTACTTTGTCTGCTCGGGGTCCCTGGAGGTGCTGAAAGACAGCATGGTGCTGGCAATATTAGGTTTGTGTTCTTAGGCGTGGACCCGTTTTCCAGCATCGCGCTTCGGGTGACTGAACAATAAATATTAATTGAATTCATTTTAGGAAAAGGGGACCTGATTGGGTCCGACCTGCCTGGAACCGACCAGGTGATCAAGACCAATGCTGATGTGAAGGCCCTGACCTACTGTGACCTCCAGTACATCAACGTGCGCGGCCTGAGAGAGGTGCTGGAACTCTACCCGGAGTACGCCAGTGTGTTCACCTCCGACATCCACAACAACCTGACCTACAACCTGCGTGAGGGCAGCCAGGACGAGGTACTCCATGTGCACCGACTGCTTCTCATCAAATGTTTCATTGGGGTTCGCTTGTTGACAATCGTAAGCCTGTCTTCTAAAATTCAATCCCTAAATATAACCCTCAAAAACGCTTTTCAACCCAAGGGAATACAGAAATGTAAAATCTAATTTCATCTCTCACACACACACACACACATTGTTCTCATTGAATAGAGCAGCAACATACCAGACAACACCCTCCCTTCCCCCCTCTCCCACTCCTCCCCCAAAGGTGCCTTTGTCACTCTCCTTGACACTTGGTCCACCACCACGACCAAAGGGCTGTTTGGTGGCTTGATTGTCACACCAATTACAATGCGTGGGTGCCACTGTCAGGCCGCCGTATCGCTTCCCTGTCGCCACCCCAAAGCAAAAGCCGGGTGACATTACAGATACTGACCCCCCCCCGCCGTGCTGCCTGTTACCCCCCCCCCCCCCCACTACTTCCCGCCGATTTATAAGAAGAGGTATTTAAGACCCACCCTGCCTTAGGGGGGAAAAAGTCCGTGTTTATTCACACACGCAGCACGTGTTTTAAAACCCTTTTATATAATCTGCTCTAAAGAAACAAAGTGTCCAAAGCGGCAAGACATTTTGTTCAACCGTACAATCATAACAGATGAATGCCAAGACATCTGTGATGTGTGAATGATTCAACTGACAAAGACAATGCCCTGCATCCTTTCAATTTCAAGCATTTTGCACTCCCACAGGCCTTTCTCATTTTTTGAAGGTTTTCTCGCTCATTAGCTAATTAATTTCTATTTTTTTTTAAAGTTCCTTTGGTTTGGAAGATGAAGAACAGGACATGTGTGCTGGCCATTTCCCCCAAATAGTCTTTTCGTCCTTTTTCAGGCTGAGGGAAACTGTATTGATGGTTGGTTTTCAAAAAGAGAATTATTATTCTTCCCACAAAGAACCATCATAATTACCAGATGACACCTTACAAAATCCATCTATAAAAGATGATTATTGCAGAAAATAGACTATAGTAAGTCATGGAACGTATATAGAAGTTCTTCCAGCCTTTGATTATGAACCAATAGGCTTCCCTGTGGTGTGGCTGATCACGCGCATTATCCCTCTAACTCTGTCTCAAGCCATCTGCTCAGAGTTTATCCTCAAGCACAAAGCCAGGGCTCCCCAGGATGAAGGAATGAACCAGCGACGAGCTGCCATGAACACACACACACACACACGTATAGGACGGTCTCCTCTACATCATCTCAGTGGGTTGTTCTATGATGGGAGGTCCACATTACACTCCACAGATACGTGAGAATTATATGCTGACTGTGAAGCAATGAAACAAATTGTAGGAATGCCTGTTACAATATACGGTATCCAAAAGGACTATTTTATCTTAGGTAATCTAGGTAAAACTTACAGATGACTTTTTTTTTTGGTCAACTTTAACTATAATTGAATAGCTTTTACAGATGTGCTGTCAATGAAATCATTTTGACATCTTATGTATAAATTTCTTTCTAAACACTGTCCTCCAAACTTAACTCTCATAGTGTTGTTTTTGGCCGCAGTGCGCAACTGTGAAAGTGAAAGAACTTTGTACACTTTCTCTACCTGAACACCTGACATGGACAAAGTTAACCTCGAGGTAACAATGAGTCAATAGTGTGCTCACAGCGTGGTTTCTTTTCGCCCAGGAGGGGAGGGGAAAAAAGGCAGTTATTGCAGCTATAAGGTCAGCTTGAATGATTTGCTATGGAATGATTGAAGACCAAGGAGCACGGCTGATATCTTAAGGGACGTGGATTTCGAAAAGGTGGAGGCATGGCTCTGCTTTCCTGTGCAGAATGGGAAGGTCATTACACCCCCGGGGAACCCGCCCGTGTCCCCCTTTAATGACCACGCTCGCCGCGGGGAGGGCGGTCAGTAGTCATGGAGTGAGAGGAACGAGCTGGCCGGTCAGGAGTCATACTGATGGAACCCCTCCCCCCCCCTTTTGGAGCTCGTATGACAACCACAGTTTCACAGAGATGATAAAGGCATGACTAAGTTTGAAAAGCTAGAAACATTTTTATTATCTGGGATCACCAGGATGCCGTTCTGTAAGTAGGTCTTTTCTTTGTGTGAGCAAACACTCTTGTGAGTGACAGGAACAAGTCCCTAAATTAAGTCAATTGCAAAACCCATTTGTAATATGTGGGACACTTTGAGGGTATCCTTGCCCCATTAATAGCTATTAATGTTCAATTTATGTCATTTGGCACCAATAATCCTGGCCGGCTAATTAATCGCTAAGTGTTGCCCCGGGCTCAGTCTTTGCTAAGAGGAGGATTGTTCCCGCGTTCACGCATCGCAATGGTCCGAAGAGATGGAGTCTCGCAACTAGACTTATAATTCAGCTGTAACCGCCTCCTAATGGAGACGATTTTCAAAGTCTGTCTTGTGCTTGAATGAAGGTTAAATCAGATGTGTTTCTTTGGTGAATTAGCGTCATGCATGGAGGAGCATCCCCTTGCACTACGCCAGCGGGGTGACACACTGTAGCTCAACTTGTCCCAGTAAGCCGTGTTATTAGAAGCACATTCTTTCACACATGAGGGAAGATGTCACACCACTACGGTTTAATTTGCCATTCAGATGGTGATTATGCGAAAGACAAAACTTTCCTTGGAATCCCCTCTGCAAGGAAAAAAAAAGGATTGATTGTGTGATTCAGCTCATGTGAACTAACCACGGCCATTTAGCAAACGCTGAGACGTCACCAAAATGAATTCAACATTCTCGAGGGAGCTTTTGGCCTCTACTTGCGCTGCGAGCTGCCAATGTGTCGCACTACATTCCACTGATCAACAGGTGGGAACGCGCCACAGCACGCTGCAATGCGCCAGCGATGGATCCAAAACATTCAACGTTGCAAATTTTTTATAGGGAAGGAAATGCACTCGAAGATGTGTTTTTTGGGTGAAACTCCACAGGACACATTTTTCTCCTAATGTGTCATTACAAATGTTTGGTTAAATGCTTGAAGCTTTGACAATGAGGATATAAAGAAGAAGACATTGATATGTTTTTCCTTTTTGTAATCCTTGCTTCCTTTTTGTCGCCGCAGGGCCTCAGCAGGTTTTCAAGGTCACCCAGACTTCCACACGTGAGTTCAAATGAAACGGTTTACTTCTTTTTCTGTTATTATTCCTTTTTTTCTGCCAGAGGCAATTTCCAAAAGTGTGTTAAATTCAGAAAAGCTGTTTTTCAATGGTCACAGGTGCATTTGTATCATATCACACAGCATATTGATTCCAAGGTTTAACTGGCGTGTTTCCCTGTGTTTTTCTGGGACATACAATATTGTATTACTATGAGCGGGTTTGTGCAAGGACTTCCCCTGCAGGTTCTGTCTCATTTGGAGCAGACAGAGCAGTTAAGTCCCTGGAGTTAGCGCGCTAGCTGGGTCAGTAGCTCTCTTAATGGGTACTTTTATGCTTATGGCACCTCCTTATTTTCCAAATATTAAAATACTATGTATAGTGCTTGCTATGTGTGCCATTAAAAGTTCCATTTGCATTAAAACCAAGTGTTTGTATGACGCGAGCGTAATGGATGTGTAGCAGGATTTGAATGATGTGATTAAAATATCATCAGCTGTATCTCATTAAATTCTAAATAACCCAATAATGGCTCTTTATCACCGGCTTCATAATTATAAAGCTTATTACGGGACAAATTACTCACAAAATGATTTGTGTATTGTGATGGGCTTTTTAAATTGGTCACATTTTCTAACGTGATTCCTGAAGTATTTCAGTATTCATGTAATTATTACTCCAGCTTTTCCACATCTGCTTTCATATTCTAAAACTCAACCACAATCCGCGTGCACACTAAAAACGTGCATTAATGTTGCATAGTGTTATTAATGACGTTGCATTTGCTGTTTTACAGGAAACCCGCCTTCCCTCCATCGTGGAAACCAAGGGCGATGACCCCGACGACTCCTTCCACCTCTCTCCAGCCGCGCGCTCCCGTCGCAACCTCCTGCTGCCCAACTTCAGCAGCCCCGTCCGGCGCACCTCCCTGGGGAACCTGCTGGGAGACGAGTTGCGGCAGTTCAACGCCCTGCGGCGCTGCCGTTCACCCAACCTAAGCCGCGGCGTCCACGGGCAGAGCTCGTCCCCTCAGCCGCCGTCGAAAAAGGAGCACGGCCCCCTCAAGGCCGCCGCGGCCTCGACGTTAGCCCAGGGGGGGTCGGAGGCCGAGAAGAAGCCTTCGAAGCTGCTCATCCCAACCGTCACCTGCTTCGGACCACCAGATCTGAGTCCCAGGTAGCCTGAAAGCTATTTCTGTTTTAGTGGAAAGTCTAAATAAAAGCACATTCTTTTGCTTGTGAGCAGCTGGTTGAACAAAATTGAGAAAAATATAGAATCACACACTTAATGGAGTGCATTAGAATTTAATGTAATAGTGCTATTCTGGTACTGCTAGAAGTACATTTGATATATTGAATATTCATTATATTATATTCGTTATAGTTTCTCCCTTAAATAACACAATGTTTAGTTCACAACTTTAAGCTATAGTCTAAAAACGATTATACAGCAGATAATACGTATTTAATTACAATACAGTGTGACTGGGATTTTCTATTTAATGTCTTGAAAAAAGGTTTATTATGATTGGTTATCATTACACACTCTGTGACTTTCAGAGTGACACGAGAAGCCGGATGTTAGTTTCTTGCCTTATTCTCAAACACTTTGTTTTTCCTCCAGAGGCTGAAATTGATTCACTCTCAAGAATCCAAAATTTGTTTCCCCATTAAAACTGTTTCACAGGAGTTTGCCTCATTAGCAGCACCACTGCGCCGCGGGATCTCACTGGATTTTGTTGCTGAAGTTCTATCTACATATTCAACCTAGTTATTCCAGTATAGAAAGTCTCTGGTGAAGTAAGCTGTTTGTTGTAACAGACACCTAAAGTCACGCCACAGGAGCCGGCGCCATCCACTTAATGTAAATAGCCTGTATTTGCATTGCATATTTCAACAGATGTCACTGCATTTCATTACCGGAGCACCTTATCTTCTTGGCCCGACCATCTGTATTCATAATGTATCCCTCAAGTCATCCAGTAAGTTCTAGATATGGGTAAGTGCTGGTTCAGAGGGCTCAGGTGTCCGCCCCTCCAGACTGGGCTCTTCTCCAAATCCCTCAAGCCCACGCGGGCCTCTGCCAGCAGCAGCTCTCGTGCCACATTCCCCGCTCGCCCGCTCGTCTCCGATGATAATTGAAAAACCTCTACTGTTACATTAACTCCGGCTCCCCCCCACCCCCCCTCTTTTCGCCCCCCCCCCGTCCCTCTGCCAGGGTCGTAGACGGCATCGAAGACAACGGACACGCGTTCCACTTCAACGTGGAGCACAGCCGGCCCGACGCCAGCGCGGGAGGCAGCACCCAAGGTAAGTCGAACCGCCTCCAGCTGCGAGGGTCACCCGGGTGCCAGATGGCCTGGAGGCAAACCCAAGAGTTCAAACGGTGGATGCAAGTGCGAGTCGCCCCTGACTCCTTCTGGGAGGGGTGGTGAGGGGGGGATGTATGAGAGCGCAGGGGAACGGAATGACAGCCGCGTGTGCCGAAGAGTCGAAGAACATGTTAAAAGGACGACAGAGGTCAAAGCGGCGTGCAGGTCCTCGAACCGGAGCGTTGTGCTGATGACGGCTGACATTCTGCGATGAAGATCACTTTCAGTTCAGTCAAAGTCCAACTCATTTACTTCAGCGTAACGAGTGCCTTGGGAAGAGAGATTACACAGCATTACACATTAGCAACCTATGCGCACCACAGTTTCCTAATCATGTTAGGTGTGATTATGCTTGCAGGTGTTTTTTAAAGGCTGTGGTGTAAGATCCTGATTTGGTTTCATTATTTTTTTACCCATCTGACAGCGCCTCCCGGAGGATCGCCTGTGTTATGTTTAGCTTTGCCTCATTAATCCACATGAGTCCTGCTGTGGTCTGTCCGCTGTCATACTGGTCATGTTTCAAGTCTTCACAAACTTCCTTCTTTTAGATCCTACCCCAACAAATTGTCGATTTCTAGAAAACTTGTGCAAACTTTTCTTTAGATAAAAGCCTTCTTTTCATTAGGTTGCATAAAATTCTGTAGAGATATGCGTGCATGTGTGTCGGTGTACATGCAATACCTACACATACTGTAATCTATCATTCTCCGGTGAATGTTTTTTCATTTTAATTCATTTTAATCATTATAAATAAATTCCGACTTGTCTGCTACTGTGTTGACTACTTTTAGTTTTTTTCCTCCTCTTATCTCTAGACTCCACTCAGGCTAATGCTAATGCTACTATGCTGCATGAGACACAGGAGGTCAAACAGATCATCAGCCAACTCAACCAAAAGGTAAGGCAAACTACCTAAATTAACATTTCACATGTGGAGACACTGAATCATCAATTCATTGATTTGTTAATTCTTCAGTGGCGACCTGCAAGATGAGCAGAATGGACCCAGCTCCTGCCTTGTATCTCTGTCTGCTCCTTCATTCGTGTTAATGTAAATAACGCAAAAGCCGGTACAGCAAAGAGTATCCAGATGGGCCCATGTAGGAGCTTTCTGAAGTCAAAATTAATTAACCAGCAGGGGGCTTCTGCATTGCGCAGTGCTGACTCGACAATCTAAAACAAAAAGTTGGATAACAACCTCAATCTGCTTGTGTCCCTTCTCTGACCCTCTTTGCCTGTTGTTCAGCTGCATTGTGCCCAGCTGTCTGTCTACTTTCCTCCCTATTTCTCTGCGCGAGATGTCATTTATTTTAGTAGGATTTCTGGGCAGGAATACATTGAACCTCAAAGATAGAAACTCATTTATCACTCTGCCGGGGATTTAGTGTTATGTCTTTTTTTGTGTACTTTGAAGCTGTATTTGTAAAATGACCATGTTTCCTCATTGTTATAATATAATGTATTCGGTCAAGTAGAATATGTTCCAAATCTGTTAATGTCACAACTAAATCGTGTGCACTGTCCACGCAGATGAGCACATTAAACCAGGCAGTATCCAACCTCACCAAGGACCTGCACCACATGATGCATCTACTTCAGGCGCACATGTCTGTGCAACACTACAAAGCCTCCCTGCCTTCGTTCCCGTATGGCATCCAAACGTTGTCCAGCCCCTCTGCAGTCCACAACACCGGAATGCCCTTCGAGTTAGCGCCGACCTTCCACCCCAATAGCGATCCCGGGAGCCAGGAGGGCCCACAAAGCGTTGAGCCCGTTGGCCACTGGAACTACAGTGGAACTGCTGCAACCCAAACGGAGCGCCAGCACGGGCCTCAACCCTCTAGTCCACCTGCCAACTCCTGTCTGCCCCTCTCCGTACACTCTGCGTCCAGGTCAGGCCCGCGTCACATGACCGCACAGCTCCGGCCGGGCCCGTCCCCTCTTGGTGTCGGCCCAGGCGCCGCACCTCCGGCCAGCTTGGAGGAGTCCCGCGACAGGCTTCTCGGTGCTAGCTCGACCAGCATCAGCCGGTCCCAGCCCACTTTGTGCCTGCAGCCTCCCGGCGATGGCGATGAACGCTCCCGCCTTCTGTCCGGTGTTCCCCCGGGTACGTCCGCGCACAGCCTGCTGGACTCGTCCCACCTCAACCTATCGCGCGAGGACATTTGTGTCTTGATGTCGGCCCCGGCATCCCACAATCGGATCCAGGACGCGTCCATCTTCCAAAGCGAGGACTCGCACCCGTCGGCCCGCACTCCGTCTGCATCTCCACCCGTGTTGCCGGGTCACCCGGATTCAGCCTCGCAGCGGCCGGACGCTGTCCAGCCTCATCTCCTACTGGGCGACCCGTCTGCCGCGGAACACACCAGTCTGGAGTGCCTACTGGGGAACGGAGGCTCTACGGAGAGCCGGGACAGTGAAAGTGTGTCGTCGCGAAGGTCCAGCATCGGTGTTCAGACGCAGAGCACGGAGCAGTCGTGGTGTCTGGACCTCACAGATTAAACTGTTTTAAGGGTAAACCCACTGACCTCTGATTGGGGGAGAACAAGTTAAAGACAAGTAACTACTTCAAGTGTTAAAGAGACCCTGCTGGAGAATGTCAATGTGTGCGGTATTTCCACGCAATTTTCACTATTTCTATGCAAAAGCATGTCATTTGTGCATTATCTTGGATTTACTGAAGTGTGTCTTTAAAACATTTCCAGTGTATACTCTATTTTTTTCCAACACCCCTTAGTGCAATTTGCAGTTGATAATACCCGTTACCTCCTTGCATGGTAAAGCTGTTTATTCTTTTTCCTAAGGAAAAGGTTTCCAAACTAATGTGTATGCATTCTACATGACAACCTGTTGATTGTGATACTGTATTTGTAAAGCAAATAAAGTGGTCTGCTGCTTAAATATATGAAGGAACAAAAGTGACACGCGCGTCACCTTGCATTTAGTGACTAGAGTACGTGCATTATTGAGCATTGATTGTTTATTGTTTTGAATTGAATGTTTTTCTCCCCTCAGCATTTTCTATTAGTGAGTTCTTGGGGTATAAATATCCAACCTCCACTGTAATATTCTATTGGATATTTCCATTTTTATGCTTTCTTCATCCACATTGAGATTTCTTATTATTTTCCACACAACGGCGTTAAATATAGCCGTGAAACAATTGATTTCTTACCGTTCTACACACAAGTTAGCTGTGGATAGATAAACATAAATGAAAACAAACATATTTAAAATAAAAGAGATTCCCATTAAATACTGTCATTAATTTACTAAATATGAATGCCTACTGGGGGAAAAACATTCAGAAAATTTGTTCTTTTTCATTGATTTCTCTTAAGCTGACAAAATAAAGTATGCAGAAACGAATTAAAGTGTCCTTTATTGTGGCGTCACACACACGTGATGTGTGTCATTTCTCTGAAAAGAAACGGCGTCACAGAAAGAATGAAAGTCATGTATTATTTAGTTGCCAAGCAGAATATGTTGGAGTACTTTTTCACTGACAAAATTCAGAAAAACTGGAAGAAGATGCACACAGTTCATAAAGCCACACAGGGGTCAGAAAAATAAATAGCCTCTTTTAGTAGTTTTCCAGGCCTCAGAGAAGAGAAAAAGCTTTAAAAAAAGAAAATGAAGAGGTTGTTTTTCTCATCAGTGGCTGTGAGCGCTTTTGGTTTATCCATTTATTTTTTATTTGGATTGATCGGGCGTGACTCTTAATCCCATTATGCAAAAGAAAAACTATTTTTCCTGCTTGTTGGGATTAAGCTGCAGCATTAATCAGCATTTCTGATCATAGCAAAACAATAAAACAACAAAGCCATATTCAGGAATGTTTCGTTTCAGTACACACAGATAAGATCTTGACTTTCTTTCATGTCCATTGGCTCAATTTCAACAGTAACTGCCAACAACACAGCGTACCATGAGGAGACACACACATAGAGTAATTGTTGGGTTTGTGTGGTTTTCGTTTAATGATCTACAGTACCAAATAGTTTACGGAAAGTCTGGTGATGGAGTGCGTCTCCATTACTGGACGTTATAAGTCACTGTGAGAAAACTGCAGGTGACAATTTCAGAGTCAATAAGAGACACTGGAGATTCCAAAGTAATTGTGGCTATTTTTCACTCTTTTCTCTCACAATTTTCTCTTCTATATACAGTGATGTGGTGTATTTATGATTTAAAATCCCTCTTTATAAATAGTTAAAATGGCAGAGCAAAGCTCAAAGTGACCAAATCCAACACAAAATGGAAAGTGAACAAATTCTAAAAGTAATATCAAACCCAACGTCCACAAACTACAGACGTTCTGTGGACAGTTTGGTATATACGCTTTGTTTATCAGTGATAAAGCTTCTCAGGATTGCTGACAACTCTCCTAATTTTTTTTTCTTTATTACATTGCACCACCTTCTGGTAAATAATGTGTAGTAAAGTATGTTCAAAACAGGCACCCTGTGTGTATTATTTTACCATAATGTGGAGAGAATATATATTTATGTATTCTTTTTCATCTTTTACAATTTAAAGTTGGCATTGCAACCCTCCTGCCTTTGTATAGATGAGCAGTTAATGGTCTCAACCTAAGAATACACAGATTTAATGTTTTAGATTAAGGTAACATTATTTATGTCTCTGTTCAAGTTTTGTTTACAAAACACTGATTTGGCAAAAACAAAACTTGCACAATGTCAACCTTACTAGAAATGTTCAGTTGCTGTCATGTCTTGGAAATAATCCATTTATTAGACTTCTTGCTCATTTGTTTCTGCTTGTGATCTCTTATAAATAAATAATGGTGCTATTTCAACATTGCTGACCTCCAAATTGTGTGACAGATTTCACTTGTTGTGAAGTTTTTAGTGTGATGTGTATTAGTGCAACTTGTGGCCCACCGGTGTTGTCATTCAGGAATATCCTTTTGTATTGTAATTACTCTGACTATTTAAACCCTTAACCCTAACATGAAAATGTAGCCAGCTGGACAATGTGACGATCAATAATATTTGTATTTTCTTCTGAGTGTCGTCATTGTGGTTTTTTTGTGGTCACCGTCTGACCTTGGCGAGTCACTCTGTTCATTAGTGGAACATTTCACAGTTAATGGTAAACTGGATTTCCCTGAATTGCCCAACAAATCCAAATAAAAAGGGAGCCAGCAGCCCTTAAATCCCACTACTGAGCTATAAACATTACAGTTGGACGACTAACAAGGTGAGACATCTCCATCTGTTTTGATATCTGTATTGATACTTTTTATTTTCTTAAATATAAAGTGCAATACAAATTAAATGTATTATTATTATTATTATGAAAAGTGCTTCAAGCTAAATATATAATTTGATTTCTAAACTTTCCCTTCTTGTTTTATTCATCTAGTGAAGCGCTGAACAGGCAGGTGAAAACATGAAGACAGTGATTCTCGCTCTTCTGGTCTTGGTGGTTGTGAGCCAGGGTGAGTTCATGTACAGAAAACACAACAATATTGAACCAACAATAATCTGATTACTGTAAATCAACATAATGTATCTTGTGTGTCTGGATTTAAGTACAATTACCTTGTGGTTTGGGAAATGTATCACCGTTTATGTACAATGGCTGAATGCTATTTTTTCTTTTCTTTTTCCAGGTGAAGCCCTGAGGTGTAACTGTGGAGGCGCCTCGAAATGTTCAGGCCGTATTGAGACCTGCTCGGGATTTAATCCAGTCTGCGCCAGCATGATCCTTCAAGCTGGATCTCGTAAGTGCAGGCTGAAAAAAAAACAATCATTATTTTTTATCAGTTCAGAGTTATTTACTAAACACTGCAGGTTTTGTCTCATAATCCTCCGTCTTTTTTTCATCTTTTCACAGGCGTCAGCTATTTCAAGCGTTGCATGAAGGAAAGCGACTGCAGGCTGCTGCTTAATACAAATGTAGCATCTGGCCACTGCTGCAGCACTGATCTTTGCAACTGATGAACTTAAATGCAAAATAAAAAAATAATCAAGCAATACATTCCTTTGTATTCTACTCTCATTGTCTTCTGTATTGTCACAATAAATATTAAGATAATCAGTAGTGTCTTTCCTTTTCCAAACATTGTCTAATGCATTCAAATACATACAACAAAAACAAAAAAAGGACAGTGCTCGAGTTTAGTACTGCTTGACGTCTTTTTTTTAACAGCAGTGAGTTGCTTCTTCTGGCTCCACTTTTGAGGCCGACTATCCGGCCATTTAATTGGTTGCCAAATGCATCACATGACGGACGAAACCAGGAAGTATTTTGGTTACACAAGGCGGAAGCGTATATTTTACCGAAAGTGTTTTAGTTTTAGCAGAAAACGTTGTGAACTTGGAGCAACACGACCATTACTCACTATTCACAGGGCGAAGTGGACGTTGTTTTTTGTAGTCGGTAAGAACGCCACCGTGTTATTTGTTTTCTTTTAGTGGTTTTTCTTGTTAGCCGATGTTAGCATTGCTAACTTGCCTCATCGCTGTGAGCTTTAGCCTCACAGCTACTGTTGTTTTTCATTTTGGATTTGGTTATTCGGTCAAAGTTTGGACCAGCAGGTTAATCCGTTTGTTTGGAAGTTGTTATCGATCCGTTTTGAATTAAAATGTAGTTATTGTCTAGAAGTTGCTTATACGAATACACATTTCAAGGCGAATACACATTGAGGCAATAGACTAAAAGCTCTGTCAGGTTATAGTTAAATTATCAACCGATCAGTAACTGTTAAATTAGCTTAATCCCGTTTTCAATCTGACCACAAAAGAGTTTGTCCGGAGACTTTATCAACTAACGTCCAAAACATGTTTTGCTACTAGGGGTTATGTTGCGAAGCAGGCAACGCTGTACTGACAAGTGACATTTAAATTGATATTTATTGATTTTTCTGCGGATTTTTTTCTTGGTTAAACGTTGTTCTCACCAGTCAACGGTGAACAATGTCATTTATTGGCCCCAAAATGTATATTTAACCTATTTTTAGTTTACATTTAAGAAGATGGACCTATCTGTGGTTGAGCTTTTCTTAAATCATTTACATTTTGTTTTGTACATTATTATTACTATCATTCATAAAACTACAATGAGTCTCCTTGTCTTGTGTGATAAACTGTTGTTCAAACAAAACAACTGGTTGATTATTTCGCCACGTATTTAGCAAATTAATAGATCATTGAAATATCTTGGTTCCTGGCCTCAAAACCTGTTATTTGATCATTTCGTTTTGTATGGGGCTTCTCTTAATTGGATCCACTGATTTTCCAGGTCTTTATTCCTCTAGGTAAACGGGGTCGCTCCACTCTGTTCTTCCCGCTGAGAGTTTTAGCGTCCGTCCTCGCTCGCTGCCTGTGCCTGTGACCCAGACCCGTCCTTACCCTCCTTGACCTGTGCTTTCAGCCCATCTCCTCCACCTGAAGGCCTCTGTCTCTGTCAATGGCTGGACGCGGCGGAGGACCAACCAGGCCGAATGGAGCCACGGCAGCAAATAAAATCTGTCAATTCAAGCTGGTGCTGCTGGGGGAGTCGGCAGTGGGCAAGTCCAGCTTGGTGCTGCGCTTTGTCAAAGGCCAGTTTCATGAATTCCAGGAGAGTACCATTGGAGGTGAGATAATAGCACTTTTACTTTTACAATCGTACATGATTGTTAGTGTTGTTTGAAACGTATAGAAATAGTAGTGCCAATACAACACCGAAGATGATTTAATTTACCAAAATGAGCTCTCAAATGTTAACATTGGCAGCTGTTGCTAAAATATTTGACATGACACCTGGTGACAGTTTTTGATACTTATACACACATTTTGGGCAGAACCCAAAAAGCATTAAGGTTCAGTCCCAGAATATGGCACTATATATATATTATTATATATATATATACTATTTACCACGTTGGGGTCTCTGTTCTGCCACTTCTTTAATAAGTTAAACATTGTAATAATACTAAGTGTCTACAGACATCTAATAATTTAATCAACATTTTTTAACTTGAACTCTGTTCCCCCAAAACTACTTGTGCATCAAATAGTTCAACAAATGCAATGTCTGAAATACGCAATCTGGCCTTAAAGGCTTTTTCTTTCGATATTCAGCCCTCATGTAGACTCAGACTTCGGTCTCAGACTTGGTCATAAGAAGTGTAATAGCTCATTTAATAATGTTAAGTTAAATTTAAGAACGATTACTTTTACCTGCTGCATACACGAGCATGATCTTTGAAGATGCAAACGTGTAAAATTCTATTTCCACTGATCTTTGCTTTCGTTAGCTGCCTTCCTCACTCAGACCGTCTGTCTGGACGACACCACTGTGAAGTTTGAGATCTGGGACACGGCAGGTCAGGAGCGCTACCACAGCCTGGCTCCGATGTACTACAGAGGCGCTCAGGCGGCCATCGTGGTCTATGACATCACCAACACAGTAGGTTTCCCCTGCAGGAAAACATGACGACCTCTGTGGGGTCGTAGTTTTGCTATTAACTTAGTTGGCTTTAATGTGTTTCTGCATCTTTTTGTGTAGAATTTCTAGGTTGACTCTATTTCTTTGTACAGTGACTCACCTGTTGATAATCTGAGATAAAGTTATGAATGTTAGATTATTTTATTACCGTATAAAAGGTGTGTTGTGTTTGTTTGAGTAGAGCAATACTGCAACATACAGGACGCTCTCCGGTTGTTCTTTTCAGTCTCAAATTAGACCTCTTGGTGTTCAGACTTGTGGGCGTTTTGACTTCACACAGAAGTCTGCTGTTATGACCCACGAGGTTAAATATAGTCGTCGTGTGAATGAACTGCGTGTGAGAAATATAATGAAGTTTGTTGCTCATTTAGGATACTTTTGCACGAGCAAAGAACTGGGTGAAGGAGCTGCAGCGGCAAGCCAGTCCCAACATCGTGATCGCACTGGCTGGAAACAAGGCCGACATCGCAACCAAGAGAGCTATAGACCTTCAGGTGTGGAGACTATAACCGCAAATGGATTTCTGATATTCACAGCCGTTTTTCTATTTCTAATGTAATACGTTTGTTCTATACTCGTCAGTTGTGTACAGTTTATGCTATCATACATTTCTAAACTTGGCTCTTAGGAGGCGCAGACGTACGCTGATGACAACAGTCTACTCTTCATGGAGACGTCAGCCAAGACTGCGATGAACGTGAACGAAATCTTCATGGCTATTGGTGAGTGCTTCTCGCTGCTGAGTCAAATCCCCCCATAAACCGCTCCCACGGATGGATCGATCAGGTGAGACCGTAGGTTTAACCACCTACTCGTCTCTGCAGTGGAATTGCTGACTAGTTTCAACTGAAACCTCTTACCTGGTGCGTTGAACAGGTGCTCGTTAGATAACTAAACTTTAATTCTCTTTTAATTAGAGAAATGACGCTGGTGAACAACCACAAAGAATATGGACTGTTTTCTTGGGGGGCCGGTAGGATGTGCATTTGACCCTATTGACTTGTGCCTCCAAATAAACAACAACAACAATATTATTAAACATTACTGTGACATACAGTAAACATTACTACAACACTGTGTTTACAGCCAGAAGCGGATTAAATGTCCAAGTTGCTTCATCCAAAAACAGGAAACGGCTCACTTGATTGGATCTAAAAAAAAAAAAAGCTGCTTGCGTCTAAGAGATTGTGGATGAAGAGTTCATTTAAATTTAAAAGGTTTTAACTGTAATGCTAAAAATGTATTTTTAATGGTGAACAAAAAAAACAACATTTACGGTCCCAAAATGCGACGAGCACAGCTTCCATGTTGAAATCTCTGTGGTCCTGTCCCTGCAGCAAAGAAGCTACCGAAGAGCGATCCTCAGGGGGGAGCCGGCCAGGCGGGGCGGACTCGGACGGGAGTGGATCTACAAGAAACTGCCCCTCAGAGCCGCAGCAGCCAGTGCTGCGGCGGCAATTAGTACAAAGCGATGAACTTAGTAAGCGAGCCCTGAACATCGTTTTAAGGACGGCACGTAGCTTAAAAAACCCAGAGAGGCAGGAGAGGGCAGAGCCATTCGCCACCTCTGCACTTAAACTGAGATTACAGATGCGATTATCTGGATCCTCTTTGATTACAGGAACTTTCTTTTCTTTTATTAAGAATCATAAGCTAGAGGGAATTACCAAGACCCTTCACTATTCCCCTTGCCCCTTCCTCCCCGTGTATCTGTCTATCTACCTCCCTGTTCATCTTCAGCCTCTGATATGAATTCTGTCTGAGAGGATTTTCTTTGATGGGTGATGCTGAGGTGGTTGTGGTTTTGCCATTTTCCCTTTTTCCCTCTGAGTGTGTGTGTCCGTGTGTATGTGTATAGTACATATCTGTACTGTATATTGGCAGTTTACTTTTCTACTCTTGTCATTTCCCTTCACATTGATCATCATTATGAAAGATACAAATACCCAACTACTAAAGCTGAAATCGCAGACGTCAGCGATTTGTCGTATTGCAGTTAAGAGAACAGCATCTCTTTGTTGTTGGGGACCCGGACTTGTCACAGTTGTAAAGAAAGATCTACTTTGCTTATTGAAGCAAGTTGTGATTTAATAGGCTACACATCTGAAGATGTTTCTGAACTGTGCAACAAATGCAGTTGTTTGCATTCATTGTGTATTGATATCTGTAACACCAGAGAGTTGTTGGCCTTTTTTAAAAGAAAGTAAAAATAAAGTGTAAATTGGACAAATTAAATAAAAGTAATAAATAACATGCACAAATCATTTTGTTTTGAATGCTTTTGCAGAGGGACGGTTATGCCGTTGCACAATTATTTAGGTCCTGTAAGTACAGCCGAAAAAAGGTTTTTACACTCGTCAGGCAGGTATATATATATATAAAAATAAAATAGACTTTTTTTTCTTTTAGTAATAAGCATCTCTCAATCAGCTACCTGATTCTGACTTGTATAGACATAACAAGATGTTTTAATATTGTAAATTATTTTACTAAGTACGTATTGAATCCATTTTCTTGTTTTGCAGTCTAGACCAGTGTCTCCCTGG